CACAATGTCATCAGCAAACCTTAGGTGACAAAGGTTTCCTTCATTAATCTCAATTCAAAGGCATTCCAGTGACAGCGTCGGATAGTGAATATCCATTTAAGCGGATAACAAAATTGAGAGTTTTGGTCTCTCAGTCGGGCTCCTTTCCTATAGCTATTTCTGAGTCTCGGAGGTAGGGTCTATTCACAGTGCAACATCCAGAGTAACATCATGCAACATCCACAGCAAGTAATGATGTAATCCAAAGTACTCAATTTTCGTCGGAATCCTGCTTGTACACCTGGTTGAACTTGGCCTAAACTTCTAATGATTTGGACTAGTAAACAACGCGTGAACAGCTTATATATAACCAGTTGGCGGAATTGCGCGCACAACACAGATGTGCTGCGAATTTTGATGGTGCTGCGAAAATTTGCAAATTTGGCCATTATCCTCTTTTTCCCTGTCTCCGGACTGCTTCCGGACAATAAATCTCGGGGCAAACTCCGCCTTCTTCGGTGGGTGCCCCCCCCATCAATAGCATTCATCTTCCTTTCGCCGACCTCTACCCCTTTTTTCCCCGGTCTCTGGGACCTCTTGGAACGAAATCAAGACACCTTTGGCAAACTCCGCCCACCTAGGTGCGTGCTCCGCCCACTGATAACAGCTGACCTCCTTTCCCTCGCCAACCTCTAACCCCTTCCCCTATTTCTAGGACTTCTTGGAGCCAAGTTATGAAATTTCGTCGCAAACTCCGTCCACTTTGGTTAAGCCCCGCCCACCGATGACAGTTGGACTCTACTCCTGCACCCACCTCTCTCCATCTTTTTCCGGCTTTGTAAAACTCATTGGAAGCGAATTATGAGGACTTGTAGAAAACGCTGTACACTTCAGAGCGCGCTCCGCCCATTCTGAGCGGGCCTTCGCCCATATCATGTAAGCAGGAAACTCCTTAGACATTGCTCCCTTGAACCAAATTGTTTTCTGCTCTGTAGGCTTTCTCCCATCCAAGTTATGAAATTTTTCATAAAGCACAGCACTTTTTTGGAGAACGCCCCGCCCACCGGGGTGGGTCTCCCTAATTCGATGTGACTCACCAATGCACACCTTTACCCCATTTTGGCCCAGTTTCGAGATTGTTTTGTCACTGAAAAATGGGTACAGTTCATTCGATGCACGCCACGCCCTCTGTGGGTGGGGCTCCGCTTATCTGATGTGTGTTTGTATTTCGTGAGACCTTGCCCACCCATTCCAACTGTAAGCTAACTTCAGTCCGGTACCACTCATACCGTAACCCAAAACATCCGTCATGAAAATGTAGCACACACAGGTTACCTCTCATTTTACGCTGGGTGCAACTGCTCTTGCTCTGAGCTTTTCGACTCCGCGATTGATAAAATGTAGAACTGAGGAACATATCACAAAGTATTAGAGTACCTTATTGGAGAAAGGCAGAATTTTTGTGCAGCATAAGTAGTACCACTTTTCTTACACTAGGGGCAGCGTTTGTAAGACGGACATGTGCAGGAGCAGAAAACCAATCTCCAGCGGAATACGAAGTCAAATCGCTATTGTTGAAAGGTGATCAAATACGCACTGGTGTTATATGAATGTTCATGTCACCAGTTGCTTCTATTACGAGACAATCCCGGGCGCTTATGGCCATAGAGAGGATATTCAAAAAGGACACTCGAAAACCGCGGGAAGGGACCTATGACTAAGCCCAGGAGAGAGAAACGCGAGTGACAACAGCTGCTCGTCCCCCCAGAACCCCTTTCCCTTCCTATGGCTTAATCACAAATTCTGTTAATGGAAGACCATATGCAGGTGTAGTGCTAAAGTTAATGCCTCCCTCTGAGCTGAAGCTGTGACCTGACTTTTGCCCTCTGCGCATATGTGCAGCAATTTATCACCCAACACCGGAGTCGTTACTTAACTTTAATGTTACTCCTCAGAAAGAAGATATAGCAAAAACACGGAGTCTACAATACACCTACCGAACGAGCGGAGTCCATTTCAAATCAAATTGGTTTCACTACTAACTTCAGTTGGGGGGGGGGGATGGGGAGTTAACGCCAATAGGGAGAAAATGATACTAAACTTTCTAGGCAGCTTCAAGATGGCTTTCTAGAGTCTTAAGGTGAAACCACTGAGAGTATGCTCTTGATAAGGACCTAAAACTCATTCCAAACGTGGCAGATGTTCGTAATTTCCTATGAAATCATCCTATAGCAGCAACCTAGGAAGTTCTCCGTCCAATCAGCCCCGCGACACGTTGAATTCCGTTCAAAGAATGCTAAGGCTCCCTCATTAGACGTTCCTGAACAAGAAAAAGGCTGATTCGTACACTTATTTGCGAATTTCATCCTCAGCATAAACTCGAAGGCGTACACTAGCAATTTTTGTGTGCACGGCGGGAAACTTGGGATGATTGGTGCGTTGCGCTTTAGTTTACGTCGCTTTTTCGGGTTACGTTATGGATGGTACCGGACTAAAGTTAGCTTACAGTCCCATTCCGCACTTGGCCCGGTCTCTCCAGGCAGATTCCGAGAAGCTAAGGAATTACGTGACAGACATACAGAACGACAGACAGATGACAGACAGACGACAGACGAAGCGCTTTGTAGTAAGTAGGATAATCTCGCAGAGGAGAGAAGAGCAACTCAAACCATAACTCTAGTAGAGTAGCACACCGAATACAGGGGGGGGGGGCAAAAAAAAGAGTCACTTTGCCCATGGCGCATATCATAATTTTTCATTCACAGGATACCGCTATTATTGGGAGTTATATGGCGAACTTAGATCTCCCCCCGTAACGCAGAATCCACGGCCCACCTTGCGCTGTTCCCGTTTATATGAATATACGATTCATTCTTGCCATCACCGTCGAGCCTCAAGGAAGGCCCTACCTGTAAATGCTTCATTCTGAAGCTGCTACATAAGTTTTCACGTCGGATACCTGTGAATGACTTCTTACGACGCACTCAAGCTTCTTGAAACGCAAATGCTTTGACACAGCTTTTCAGAGACAATCGCAAATCGTAAAGTATGTTTCTTGACGCCTCGTGTGAGCTCGTCTACCTGCGAATCATGTTTCCGTGGAAAATCTCTGATGTCGCGGTTAAAAGCCCCTATGAGACTTCCTCTGATACAGAGAATGTGCTTTACAATATTAAATTGAGGGCTCATTTGGTTTGGTTCCGGTAAAGATTACATTAATTCCGTTTGAGTGTTAATCAGAGTCGACTTTTTTCTGCCGCCCCCGCCCTGTACTGTGCCACAGTCCGTTGCTATTGTTGCTTAAAAAATCCAACAGTAAGGGGGATTCCTGAGGGTCCTGAACGATTCTTGGCACCGGCCTCCAAAATCAACCAATTGTCCAAACCTTACGGAACAATAATCGGATAAACTGTAACTCGTCACTGGTATCTTTTTTTATAAGGGCGGCTCTGATTTTACATGTTGACATAGTCGACGTCCTCTAGAGGCCGATATTTATATTTTTTGGGGGTGGTCCTCATGGCATGTTCTGCCTGCGCTGCTACACTCGCCGTGCCTTGTCTGATCCCTCACAGCTTGAGCGTAATGTGCGAGAGCCGCGCTCGAAGGCTGGCTTTCTACGCAGCGCCATTAAAAAGAAAGTGTAGAGGTGGTGTAGGGATGAAGAAAAAATTATAAAGGGCCCAGAGGCAAAAATATGGGACGCCTTCTTTGCTCGTCGGTTTTATCATTGCTGCGACTCTAATCGGTGCTGCTCTCATCAACGTTAACGCTCCCTCGCCTAAACGGCCAAATTATAAGGCAGCAAGAGGGAGCCGTACCGCGCCAATAGCGCGCCGATAGGGAAGCCGCGGCGAAAGCCATGTCAGGTCGTCGGAGACAAACCCATCGCTGCGAGTTGTGTGCTGGCCCGCACCCTTATGAGGATCGACTGTCTTCGCACTAAGTAAGTTCCCTTCCTTCGACCTATAGGGAAATCCTCTTTTGAAGCTTCTATCAATGGTACTCAATGATGTCATCAAAACCGCAACACCGTCCACTCATCGCAATTACTGCATTGGAGGGCAGTACGAAATTTCTTTTGCTTTTTTCTTAACTAGCAAATCACTTACAGCCTTCAGCTTCCCATCCGATCCCACTTGTTTCCTGTCTACTGTATTATGAAACATAGCAATTTCGCCACACATGAAGTTATTTGATATTTACTAATTCCGAAATGACCACACCATTAACTGAGTGAATGCTTGACACGCGCGAGATTGGCATATTCATTTTTGGGCAAAGAGTTCGACAGTATAAACATGTGTACAAGTAGAACCCATGAGATCTGGCTACGGTTGAAAGCCGAATCAACGGTGCAATTGACAAAAGGGCAGTGAATAAAGCAAGTACAGCAAAATTATAAACACACTTATTCAGCGATCAAGTTGAAATATTGGAGGAATAGTTGACGATGGATTGAGGGAATAGATAAGGGGCAGTAGAATACATTGGATGGCACACGACAGGGCGAAACGAGATGAATGTTGTACACGTGAACGGCGGAAGGAATGGAAAATCGAAACAATGGAAAATATTGTCGGGTAGTTAATCTCTTACTCAGTAAGTACGGTCGTCTGGCATTTGCCAATATTGGTCAAGGTAACTAAAGGAAATTAAGTGAACTTGATGGCACATGAGTTGGGATGCGCACTGTCACAACTCATCCGGTTTCAAATAAATATTTAGTAAATATAAATTATATGTCGAACATTACAACACTAAATACGGAATAACTGTCAGGAAGGGAATAACTGAAGACATTCGAAAAACTGATACTGACTGAATAGTGGTAGATTAACAACAAGTAAAATGAATCAGAAATGAGGATAATAGCAAGTGGAAATATATAAATAATTAATTATTAGTAATCTTCGCACCGTAAAGCAGCAACCAAGTCAAGTTTGTCAGCAAATATGTCAAAATTAAATTCATAGTAACTCTGATAAATAATCCTATCTAACAAATATATTCTAGCGTTAAACAACAGCCCATCGCTCTTGGTCGTCTGAATCGGAATCACTCAATGGTATGGCACCGGACTGAGCTTGAATAATTCTGGTCCGCGGACCGGTATCGTGGGCATATACCACAGAAGGGTATCGTGATGGTGATGAACGATTATATCCATGATAAACCTGAAAGAAAACTTTTTGTCACAATGGCCCCTTCAAAATACTCCGTAAAACTGAGCTATAACATACATAGCTGGAAACTGTAATCAATATATGCTACTAAACATTTCTTCTTTACGGTAGCAATCGGCTCTGGGAATGACAGGTAATTCAACGCAAAAGAACTCACATCATTTCCAGCCGGACTGGGAGATGGTATATCGTAATAGTTCTCTCTAGGCGTGTAGTAATCTTGGTGATGTGGACGTGCTGGCGACACAACAGATGGAGGGCGATATGGCGGCGATGCAAATTGACCTATCGATGAATGAGAAGCACTCGGTGTAAAACCTTAAGACCAACGAAGAATACTGACTAGATTTATAAAAATAACAGGAACATCCATATAAGAATACCTGAATATGATGACGGAGCATAAGGACCTGGTCGCAGATCATTACCGCTGGAGGGTGGTATAGAGGCAATCAACGGCAAACGACGTTGCCTCACTGAATTCGGCATCGTCTCATCGTCTTCACTGATTTCTGGTGGTGTCGAATCTGAAAGTTTCGCAAGGGATGAATACTAGGCTTTTCTTAGACGACAGCAAATACAGCCCAGTCAAAATTCTGCGTTAAAGGAATCTTGCGCGGAAAAATCATGATTCTATTTCAGCCATAAATCACTGGCTTGAGACTCATTATCCACGATCATAATGAAAAGAACTGAAGCATTGCTTTCGTTTTGATTGGAAATTCGAAAACTCGAAAGGGCTGCTACGCGTTCGAATTGCCCACGGACGTCTTTCACGAATGCTGGCGACGGGGATGCTCAAACTTGGTTCTTGGAGTGCATTCACTAGAAGCTCTTTCTGGCCTTCTGCTTCGTTGCATTCACATCTTACACTTCTACTCCATCCTATTCCATCGATCGATTTGTCTCCACTCTCCGAAATCGCGCGCTTCAACCCGATTCTCTCATTGCGTCGCCTGGTACGTAGCCAGCCAAACGCCGTCTTCTTTCCATGCCTCGCCTGGCTCTGCCTCCTGTTCTCGATGTCGCATAACGCGCTAAGTTTTCGTACGTTTGTTTCTCTTCAGAAACCGAATCTTCATGCGTGAAACTTTGTGTGCTATTTCCATTGATCACAACTGACATATACATGATAGAAAAGAGTGCAAGAATTTTCCGCGCAAGATTCCTTTAAAGTGACTCTAAACAAATAGGAGCAGCTCGAGCCATTGGTCGAGGAACCCAATCAGAGCTGGGAACTTTTGAAAATATGAAGAAATTCCAACAAACATAAAATTCAGAGTCTGCGACGAAACGACAGCCCACCAAAAATCAATGTAAAGTGAACAGTGATGCACGGATGAAGAGAAAACCAAGAAAAGCCGCCTAGGACCCCTTTGCCCGCTAATTTGCGCGATAGGTGATTCTCATGGTGTTGGTCCCGTCAACCCCAACGTGTCTTTTAGGCGTCTAGAGGAAGAGGGGAGGGGTGGCGAACGGCGGTGATAGCGGCAAGGAAACGGCCATGCTAGATCGTGGAGGTATGTCCTTCGCTGCAATTGCGTGCACCCTTAGGGGGTTCGTCCGTCTTTCCCCTAGATAGGCTTCTCCTTTGTCGACCTCCGATCTTATCGTGGCATTCTCCTTCTAGAAAACTGAAGTTTGTGAATATTCCTTGACGCAGATAGGTCGTTTGCCCCTAGCTGGGGTCGCTTCAACTGCCAAATGCACTTGAAGGCTCATCATGTGTCGCTTGTGAGAAACGAAGCCTCACTTTTCGAAGTGGGAAGGCACGAATCAGTCGGAGTTATCCCAGTCCAGATACGGTGAGCATTGATGTTCCATAAAATTTCAATGGAACTCATTTCCTTCAATATTAAAGACCGTCAAACATCAGCGCCGAGCAGAATGGAGAAATCGTAGAGTACAACACTGCACAGGTGCTGAACGAATGACTGCTACACACAGTGTAGATTCAAAGGTACGGATCGGGATCGGATTTGTGGGCTCGAAATTTGTCTGTTTGATTGCAATTTAAACAAAAACTGCGATCAAAGAGAAGCATGAGAAGGTTCGCACGAATGAGAAGGTTTCAAGAACCGGTAGAACGATTAGTGTTTTATTTTGCACAGACGCCGCATGGAAGGCATCGCCGAAGAGCAGAATCTCACACGGGATTTGACCTTCAAACCACCAACATCCCTTGAATTGAGCTCGTTTAACAGAAACTGCGATCACGTTTAACGTTTAGCAGCGCTACAACAGAGCACAGTGGTCCCCGAAGCGAACAAAGGAAAAACGAGAAAAGAAAAGGAAATGGCATGATGCAAAAATCTTTGTACAACTGCCGAGGTAGTCGCTGGCCGTTCTTTCAACTCGTTCTTCTTTGGTGCACACGGATGGGATTGGGTATATGAGCCTGGCCGACCTTCCGGTAGGATTGCCGAACAGATTTTAAGGAGCAAGGCTCAAAATGTGAAGATTATGTGCCTGTTCACTCACCGTGATATCTGGAGTAACCATGACGCCGATAGCTACTTGTCACGCTGTCGTCAGAGAAAGGACTACGAGCGTACTGCTGCGGAGAGTAGGATGAGTAGCCAGTGCGCAGCGGGCGTGAGTAGTAAAGTTGTGCTGGACGGGGTCTTCGGAGAGCTGGATCCCTCACGGACATGACGTAATCAGACGATGATGGTGGTGAACCTGAATAGAAATTACGGAATGTATGCTCAAATTAAGGATTAATGATAATAGTAATGTATTTCCAAATCCTTACTAGATCTGAAACGTGATGGATACCGCTCTGCTGGACTGGGAGGACTCATATTTCTCCCATGTACGCTAGAGTAGCGTGGCGATGGAGTTCTCGAGCGTTGGGAAGGTAAAAGTTGTTCGGTCTAAATAATCAGAATATAAGGAAGGAGGATAGGTAAGACTACGGAGAAGGGATGATCGTGGACCACGATGTAGTAAGTAGTACAATCCATTCAAATTTTAGTGACTCTCTATTACTCCGAACATTCAATAACGCTACATGTATTCCAGCGTGTTCGCTTGAACGAGCTCACTTCATAGGAGACTTATCCGCTGTTGCACGCCTTAGTCCATCTCAAAAGAAGGTCATTGCATCCATTATCTGAGTTTCTCTGCTGGGACGTTTGCTCTTGATCAATAGAAATGTGATCATACAGTGACCAAACTTTTCATTCTAAAACACTACGACGCCAGCTGTAAAGTGTTGATTCGAGTATAGGATTAACAGTATGCGCTATGAGAACTTTTCAGCCTGTAGGTTCCAAAGAGCTAACTCCAAAATGTGTCATACTCGATAGTTTCTAGTAAAAAGATTTTTCTTTCTGAATTCGTTTTTCCCATTCAACTTTAAGACAACTGCTTAGTGAAAAAGGTTTGCCTCTAAAACATATCAAAAACTGAACTGATATGATTAAGCAGCAAAAGTTTACAGTCAAAAAAGTACCCCACCGAAATCTTTTGAGCGCTACCGTACATACAGTAGCGGTCAAGTGTTCGCTGAAATGACTTTCGATGCAATACTTTATCTAGCTTGAGCAACGTCCTCCAAAGATTGATATACTATGATTCCCAGTATTTTTATATCCTCAAGTCTTGAGGAATCGGGTACTCGAAAGAAAAAGTTACCGGGGTCGCCATTAATTTTTTCTAGCAAAAAAAGAGAGGCATGAAAAACCGTTTCGGCGAACACTTTTGACCGCTACTGTAGCAGAGAGAGGGCTAGCGTTGAGGAGGACAGGACGAGAATCGCACCCATGCGGGACTCAACGGGCAAGGAAGGAGCCCAATTTCTCGGGTTTCGAGCCATTTCTCACGGTTTTTCCTTCTTTCTACTACCACTGAATATCCTTACGTTAATTGAAATGAGTTGCCAATTCAACGTAAATTCCGCCTTCGAAACTAGGGATCACGACGAAATAGGGCTGCATTTACGATGGAAGGGAGTATTAAATGATGCGCCAGTGGCGAAAATAGCACAAAAATACCTCGAGAACATGCAAAATGGTACCCCTTTGCTTGATCGTTGACCTCCCAAATGGACGAGCCACAAATCAACGAAGGGGTCTATCCCACGTGTTAACCTGACAGCAACGATATTGCCAACGACTACATAAGTATAAGTGAAATCTCTTTCCAAGCGAAACCTGGACTTTGGAAAAGGGCAATGACTCTCAACGTAAATCCGTTCCGCTTCTTTGACGATGGAATCATGGGGCCCATCCGATAATCACAAAACGACTAGTGACGGTCTTGCTTTCATGAAATTTGAAGCAAATCGCGTGGGGCACCGTCGTTCCTGCATCTATCTTGAAAATCATGCCATCCTGTTAATATCAATGCCAGCTAATTTTATCGCCCACGCATTCGAAGCTTCTCACATGTCGCATCGTTGTATGACCTGCGAAAGAGACCGAAGAGTCACTAAAATTTGAATCAGCAATGAGCCTTGATGAGATAGCTCTCACGTTGAACGATTACATAATAAAAAAGCACAGCGATCGCGTGCCTGAGCGCTACATGGACGTTGCATGAGCCATTTCAGAAAACCTAAATAGGATGCGTATCCTACGCTCATGAAAAGCGCTATTCTCGCAATCGGGTTCAGCTTATACGTTGACGCCCGTGCAAGATTTCTGTTGCACATTTGGATGAACTTTACTGCATCATCTATAAAGGGCGCAGCAGCTGAACAGACAGCGAAGGTCTTCAGATGTCTGGACTAATGCGCTATCTCATCAATGCTCTAGTTTCTGTTATCACGGGAACAAATGGCTCGAAAGCTTTTCATGTCTAATCATTTGCCGAACAACAACTAACGTTTGATAAGTGCGATTTGTAAAGGAAAGAAGCATGCAAATAAAGCCGATAAAAAGAAATAGCGAAATGAAGCATGCACGCTGGTGCGTAGTGTGGCACAAAAATCTGAACTTTCTCAATTGTAGTCTATCCACTTGACGTCTCTCTTTAGTACCGCTCAAACAATGCAAGGCGTTAAACTTGCGCTTCCACCAAGTTGCGGCTGGGAAATATAACACGAAGGCTAAAATGAAAAAATGGATAATGAATGCTTTGCGGAGGTATAACTTCCTGGGTGCGTATAAAAAGTCTTTACAGTATAGCAAAGCAACTAACACGAGCTCCAGCCAACGTAACACTAGACTTATATGGTAGAGCACGTCATAGACGTTAGAGAGACCATTCGGACACCCACCATATTTGGATACAAAGCCGCTTTCGTCAAGAAGACAGTAGCTTTGTAAACCACACAACACTTCGAGCGCACCTCTATGATTGAGAGCCCGTGGTTTTGCGGTTCTCAAAGGCATGATCCACGATCGGCTTGAATGGAGAAGCCTCTTGTGGATGCAGGTGGCAAGTAGGATACTTCAGAAGTCGCTTTCACGCCTCAAAACGCGTCACTATGCCAGGGGTGAGTACTAATGCTTGTACGTCTCATGAATCAGATCATGCATACCGTGGCGATATCTCGTCTGCGTCGTTATGCTGATCTTCGCTGCTCTTTTACTTTGAGGTCTTCTTCTCTACCTTTGGCCCCCATTACTTCTTATCTCGCTGACAGTTTTTCACTCCTTCATAAATCAGAACAAAAATGCCGGCCTTTGTGTTTTCGGCGGTTTATTCTCCTTATTTTCTACTGGCGGCCCACTTCGTACCCCACTTTTCATTGTCAAGCGTTTACCACATCAAATTAACCTTTGGGTGTGCATTTGAAGGCGAGGGCCAGGATCAATTTGGTGTGGTAATCTCACTCGAATACGAAAGGACAACAAGAGGAGAAAAAAGAAAAATCACCAGAAAACACAGAAAATACAAATCTTTCTGCTCTACGCTGCGAAGAAGTCTATGGGGCAGACAGCGGAATAAGTGATGAGAATCGCGGAGAGGGCGAAAGAACTCCGAACTAGGGAGCATATATGGCCAACAAGACACAGAGGAAAAATTGAACGGTGGGACACGGACTGACCAGGCGTCAGCGGATCGAATTCGTAGCGCGTTAGTGAGGCATTTTGAGGTGCTAAGTTGTCGCAACCGCAGAAGTTGCGACAACTTGGCGGCTTAAAACCGTAAAAGCCCAGCACTTCGGCAGGGGAGGGACCTCTTCAATGAGGCTGAACTCAACCTCTGCCTTCACTTATTGCCCTACTCCCATATTTGTATGTACCATGGTGCTCACATAGCCTGACTTGGGACTTTGTAATACATCATTCAGAGACGTCAAATGTTAGAGTTGGACTATTTCAGATTTCTGACCACCACCAGTCACACCGTGATCTAAGCGTACCTCGTCATACTGTGAAGATCTCTCACGATAGTAGTTGAAGCGTGGTGCATACTGCTAGAAACGAAACCACATAGTGTGCATCGGTGGATGCGAACCACTGTACTGGTATTACTATCTGTCCTACTCAAAGGCTTGTCTACTCATGTTAAGTGTATACTGTATTGATCTCCAACACAGAAAGTGTTAAAACTTAAACATTGCCATTAATGCACGCGTTCAAGAAGTGTACAGACAGAAAATGAAGCAGAGTTAGATAATTCGTGCACGAAATTGTTCATATTTGATAGATTGGAAAACTATGAAACTGACCTGAGGAGGATCGTGAGCGCCACCACCGCCACCACGACGAATCCGTGAGAACATGTCCGATAACCGACGACCTGCAGTCGTGGATTTCGGCCTATAAAATTTTTCGCAATTCAGATTATTCAAATAAAATCAGCACTCGGTGACAGTCATTGCGCAGGGAGTAGAGTCAGCAGGACCTGAGTAAGTCTAAAAAGAATTTCTACGAGTAATTCAGCGATATGGTGTTGCGGCATGGGAAGTCATGCGAAGAAGCCCTGCCCGTTTCTGATTAAAAGTTCATGTTGGTCCAAAACGCCTACAAGCCTTGTAATATAAGTTCTCAACATGTAGCATCTTTTTCAGACCTGGAATTCCACCAAGGACAACCCTTTAATGCGCAGTAAATAACGGGGATCGCTATGGCCACGGGAAGGTGGATGTTCCCAAGTCTGGGGGTGAAGATGTAGAGACACAAAGTTTGGGGGGGGGTGTACGACGGTAGCGAAAAGCTTAAGTGTGAAAACGCTATAAAATATATTTTTTTAAGTGCACTCGCCCGATCCTTGTATTTTTTTTCTGTGTGGTAAGTGAAGACTAATCGCACTTCGAAGCTTAGACCTGCAGCAGCATAGGATTACAATCAGAATGTTTCCCTATCAAAAGCCACGAGTGAAGGGAATACACCTTTGCAAGCCTCTGCCCCTCACAGCCACTGAAAAGTGCGTGGCGCATCCTGAAGAAGGAGTATCCAATGCGAAACGATTCACATCACGTCTGTATGCTGTTTCGCCTCAAATAGATGAATGTTCAAAGGGACATCCGGTCAAGTATGGGTTATAGGGTCCGAAAAGAAAGCTGAGGCGATTGGTCTACGAGTTATGAAATAAAGCAAGAAATTTCTCAACACTCCTCGAATCACACGGTATGCGGATCGTGTAAGCGGGTTTTCGCCCTGCTCCTGCAGAATTTTCATTGGTTAGCCCTCTTTATCGTATTTTACCGCATTTCACCACATCCCCAGAAATGGTAACCAGTGGCACATATTACGATCGGGATACAGCGGATTTCGACTGTTCCTACCCCATTAGTGGTTGACCAACATACATGAACTGCTAAGCACAGTTGCTGGTTGCTATTTTTTTTTCAGGGATCTCATATTTTCATGTTTTGCTTTCTGAATGCACAATTATGGATGAGATAGGTTGAGAAAACCGCCTCCCACAATACCGTCTTTCAGAATACTGTTCAAAGCTCATGGAAATTGCAGAACCTCTTGCCGGGTAATGGCGGCGTCGCAGCGAAGGATATACAGTAGCGGTCAAAAGTGTTCGCCTAGACGATTTTTGGTGCATTATTTTTTTCTTGCTTGAGCAACGCCCTCCGCCCAACGATTGTATGTATACTATGGTTTCCAATGTTTTCATTTCCTCAAGCCTTGAAGAATCAGGATATTCAAAAAAAATTTTCGAAGTCACCATTTATATTTTCTAACGAAAAAAAGAGGGCGGAAGTGGTGCAGTGACAAGTGGCGCGCTCAACACGCGAGCGGTCCGGGATCAAATCCTGGGTCGTGAGTCGCCCGGGCCAACCAAGCCTTCCATCCCTCCGGGGTCGGTAAATTGGTACCAGTCTTGTCTGGGAGGATAAAAAACACTGACTTGAACATCGGCTGGCCCCCGCAAGTCATTGTATAGGCCACATCGCATTCAAATGCCACTGCGAATGTACAAATGGAAGTAGAATGCGTGCCGCATCCCAAAACGGGATTGATCAACGGCAAATGCTTTATCCTTTTTATCATTTAACGAAAAAAAGAGAAGCACGAAAACCCGTTTCGGCGAACACTTTTGACCGCTAGTATGCTTCCGAGATAGCGGCCGTTAAGAGCGCCTGGACAATAGTTACTGAAACGCCAATAAAACATACACATCCTGCGGCGGAGAATATCGAATCGGTGTGTCGCCTCCATCTTCACTGCTCTTGTTGGACTTTGGTGCCTCCTCGAGTGGAGTGTAGAGTGTGTACGGGCGCTGTAACAGCAAGAAAACAATCAAACGGTTAAAATGTTGATCCCTTTAACAACCAGTAAGACATACACTGCGCCTAGTGATGATATCTTCACCTACATTCCTCACGATTACTGGAGGAGAGTATTGTTATAAGGAGCATTATCTGTATCACCAAGATGTCTGTGTACCCCCCCCCCCTTTTTCTCCTACACGAAGGACATTCCACGCGAGTCATTCTATACATCAAAATTTGTCTACCAAAGCACTAACCCTAAATGAGGCCGTGTCAAAGAATCTATACAATGGGTGGGGTAGAGTAGCCTATGGGTATCGCATGGATGTGCCGTTGTTGCGGCTCAAAATTGCGCGGCAATGGTGCTAGGGCCCTACAACGTGATCTGATTGCCACTAGTGTAAACCTACGGACGCGACCCGTTTAGTTCACAACACGCAACGCAGATTACGGCGTAGCGGCTCATTCGAATACGCGCGGGCTAGTGGGGCCGTGGAGCAAGCAAGTACGTACAACTCATCCGGCCCTGCCCACTCCTTATTTCAAGGAAGAAATGAGGAGATACTTGTCAGTGACTCTATTGGTGATTGACTTTGGTTCTTTTTTCATTTTCAGTGAGTTTTACATTCACAACTTCATTATCGGCAGCTGTACATGAGTAACGCCCAAAGGAGCCAGCACTCAATCGAAGTGATTGCTCGAAAGTTCAAGTTGACGAGTCAAGAAAAAATTATGTTTACAGGGGGGGGGGGAAACAAAAAAGTCACTCCCTCCATTTTCAAAAGAGTATTAATTACACTTCGCCAAATCCCAAATGGCCAAGTTGAAAATTGAAGGGCTTATTCTAATCTATGAAAAACTGCACAACATTCTTCCACACCGACGACATCAAAAAATTTTCCCTCGAAAACATTGTGCATGGCACGAGGTCATCGAGGGACTATAGATCATTACGACGCCATCTGAAAGCTGGTCAAAAGCGGTCTTGCTCAGCTAGTGTCTCTAGCGAGCTACCCATCATTTAACCAAGTGAGGATATTATGTAGCAGCTTTAGGATCAACAACGGCACCAGGTGTGACGAAAAATTTGATGGTGTGCGTCATGAATGAAACAACTCTGTTTTTTTTTCTGCCCCCCCCCCTCTCTATCTGGTTTATGAGTGGTCACCATAAAATTCACGATAATTAATAAATATGTACATATACGAGGCTGGCAGGGTAAAAGGCCGCTTGGAGTGGCCTGTGTTTATCTCGGCTACATACACTAAGACTGAGGGTGGTTCATCCCCACAACCATTACTGAGTCTCAACAAAACTTCAAAAAATGTCTCGAATAAAAACGACGGCGAGTTCCCGAGGCATGGGTGCATATCCTACCTGTGCAGGTGTTTTGTTTGCATGTGGCGTATGATTTGGTATCAGCTGACTGGTTTCGTCAACCTGAGGTGCTGGCAAATGATTGACTCCACCAGCTGCCTTAGCAGCAGCAACCAATCCACGAAGGCCGCCACCAAACAGACCACCACCACCAATCTGAAAAAACTCTTATTTTTTGCGTAACAGTATTTATCCCACGTTTCGCATAACAAAATAAAAGAGAAAAATTGGGGATAAGTGCAGAAGAAGGTAGGACAGTTGGGAGGGACGGTCTGGCACGGTCAAGCAATAGATGGTAAACATTCTATTAGACGAGCGATTCACCCACTGCACGCATCGCTAGGTGGGCCGGAAAGGTTGCACCACTAATCCAACTTCGAAAGAAAGAAAAAAATAGAACACGATTTTGTTTACTTTGCGGAATTCTCTACTATTTTCCCATCTTTCGCTTGACCCTGACCGGGGTATGTAGCGTAACGTAGAGGTGAATGACGAATAGGAACGGAAGGATGAGTTCGGAATGGTATGATCCGGCAACCTGCTGCTGCTGCTTGTCGATTTGCTGGTCCTGTTGTGGCTGCTGCTGCCGCTGTTGCTCTTGCGATTGATCAGTACTATCAGCCGAATCCGCCCACTTGAACATAGCATTACGACGTCGGAGCAGTAAAAGGGCAGTACGTTGACGCTTACGTAATTCCAGCTAAACTTGACTGGCTCACGCCTTTTATCTAAGAACATTGCTCTGAACGGCAGCAATGAAGCGCTACAGTATATACCAAGATAAATTCAGAAAATGCAAAGTGCTGTCATATTTCGTACAACCCGTCATCGCGTTTTATGAAAAACTGCATCAATAATCGCACGCAAAATTTTTTTTTTCACATAAGGCTTTGACGAGCGGTCCTCATAGTGACAGCAACTTCAAAAAGTGTATGAAACAACAATGCCAGCAATCTATTATATATGCAATTTCCAGAATTGGGCATGAGAAGGTGATGAAAAAATGTCAGTAAAAAAATTTATTCATAAAGCTCACCTCAGTTCCACTCTTCTTCGCTCGATAGTTTTCCAGAATGAGAAGACCGGCGTAAATTTTCCCTACCGTCAATTTTTGAAAGCAGAGCTCTGAAAATTAGCAACGATTGATCAAAGGTACGCCATTGAGAAATTATGTACATCCACATTGGAGCGCTTTGGGGAAGCAGTCTGAAATAGTGATCTTCTTACAGGCTGGAATCGATCGTAACCAAGGTGTCTTCGTTTTTGGAGGTGCACTCCAGAGTGGCACGATGTTGCTACTGGGGATATAATACGACACATTAGATGCTGAAGAGCCCACCAATGAGAAAATCAATGGGTGGTCGCTTCGACGTCGTGGTAAGCGGGCTCAACAAGGGTTGAGAGATTTTTTGAAGAGGTTCAAGACTTTGAAATTCTCGCGATATTTTTGGAAAAATTTATATGTGTCACAGAAATTCCGATTCATTTTTTGTTCATACTAATAGAAGTACATCCATCAAACAGAAAAACCATAACCATCAATACTCCACCCCACTCGCGATATTTTTTGGTAAAATTCACGCATAGGCTACAGTGAAGGTAAAACGAAGGCAATTCGCAGCGAGGGTGTGTCATGCGATCTCAGCTTAAGGTTTTGGTACCCGAATTGTCTCCACACGCGACTCTGATCTAAGCTTTTTCTCTGTACTCGACAAGACGCAAGGGGAGAGTTGGGACCGAGCCACATTCCAAATTCTCTACTTACAACGCGACCTAGTCTTGATTAGTCTCCTACCAGATCAAATCGCTAGTGTGAAAAGCTCACCATGATTTGGCGGCACCACTAAATCAATCATATTCTTCTTCGCCTTTAAGGGCCAAATCTTCTTCAAAGTCTGTCTCAGTTCTTCATCAGCTTCGTCCATTTCTTCTACTGAAATTTGTGTAAATATGTGAGCTACATATTTCTCATGAAGTAGAAAAAATTTCCTGATAATAATTGTGTAGAAAGTGAAGGTCCATTGCAAAGAGGGTTACGGTGATCCAAAGGATGCATTAGTTGACAAAGGCTGACTACGAGCGTCAAAAGAGTGAAGATTTTAAAACAAGGCAAAGGAGAAGAGCAAAAGATGAGACGCGTGTAAACGTGACCATGAATGGTGACCAGAGTCAACCCTGCGTTGCGCAGTTCGCAACGGCACGTTGATAGATCCTCAACGCACGCTGTATGGGCGGAGACGCAGACGGCTCGAGCATGCGAGTGTGAATGTCCGCAGGGCGAAACTGCGCAACGTGGCCGTTGGGAACTGCGCAACGCAGGGTTGACTATGATGGTGACCTCCAATCTAAACTAGGAAAAGAATGTAGTTATTATATACTGTTCCAACATCATCTACAACAATTGCTACGGATCCAGAGATGTGTTACGAGTATTCAACTACTGGGGCAGCAGTACGCAAACTCGCTAGCTTATTTGAATATGAACTAAAACAGATCAAAAATCAATTACAGCTAGGACTAACCTGGCCGCATTTTGATGCTGAGACTTTCCCTAATGAGAGCGAAGAGAGTGGTCGTGAAGTGGACCGTACCATCCTCAGCGACCGGCATATTCATACGAACTAAATGTTTGTAAGCTAATCGATACGGGCACTTCCGTCCAAATCCAACAGGCGGCGTTATGTTACGCAACATATCGTACATATCCGTGTAGTGAATGCGTCCACTGAAACATTTTTCGAAGTTAAATGGCTCTATATCTTCGACGTCTTCAATCACATCCACAACGAAATCCTTACGTGGCTGCTGGATCGTAGTCGGCCCATACACGAATGAATTCATCCAAGTGGTGAGGACCAAGAATGGAGGAGTCTCTTGTGAGGTAGTCGAAATTGTCCATTATAACGGCAACGAACAGATTCAGCATCTAGACAAGAGACTTATTCACAGAAAACTTCTAACTTAAAAACATGACATGATTAAGATCAACGAATGATGCCCTTCCCCGAGTTGGGTAGAGCTGTGAGCAGAAGTAGAAAATCATGTTAAGGAGCGTCAGGGAGCCGGGGCGTTGTCGCGTGGCTACAACCGGCTGCAGCTATTTTTGCACCGCAATAGTCTAGACAGCGGGATGTGTGTTTCCCTATTGCTGTTTCGCTTTCTCGTCTACTCTCTCTTCTCGGCGCCCATTGCCTACTCGGCAGAGCACTACACAGTTCACCAGAAAGAAAGCCCGTAGTTGGACGAGTCTGTGCTTCTTTCTTCCTCACTACTACGCCCTTTCGCACACGTACCATCTTTATGACTTTATGGGCTGGTGGCACCTCTAAGCGGTTGTTAAGGAAGGAGATATCCTCCTGCTGTTAAGGGGAGACTAGGCTAAGAAACCGAGGAGTGGCACTTTCGTCTGAGGACGCATCTTTGGCAGCCTAGCAAACTCTACTCGTAGCGACCCCACCTTCCAGGAGGCCCCGCCTCCAGGTGGGTAACTAGGATTGGCTGGCGGTGAGAGGTAGTCGGTTGCGATGAATACTGTAGAACCAGAACGAGCCCACATTGGTGGCGTCATCTATCGTGAAATCTCGTCGAAAGCGAAAGTCAACAGGCAGCAAAGGGTTCCACTTCAGAGGTTTTAGGCTGCTTCCCTTGCTTTCTAACCCACCATTGTACCAGCTGCCGTTCCCAGTTCACGTGCTGAGAGAGCTAATCTTCCGTAGCACCTGCTTTTAATTGCATACTGGGAAAGGGAATATAATAACACTTATTGTCATCCACTGACGCCACTTGACAAGTTACCCTTAACAGCTCCTGATCAGTAAATCAAGATACGCCGCAGCTCGCGCGAGTACTTCTTAGTCGCTTCCGTGTCTCTCTACACGGAATGTGCACCACCAAAGTTCCGGCGATATCCAATGATTTAATAAGAAGCCATCCATATTACCATCGGTCATTGCGTGAAGCGTACAAACCATTGCGTGCATCTCGTGCAAACTCACCAAGAAAGAAGATAGGAAGACGAACGAGGTGAAATACGCGTAGCTTACATTACTTCCGCAAGTTTGACCCTGAAAAAACACCAAACTCTATGTACTCAGTGATTTAAGCACGGTATGGAGGGGTCCAGTGGATGTAAACATGTCTAATTTCGTGCCTTATCGTAATTGATTTCATCAGAACCGGCCCTTGCGCAATCTTTCTGAGCGCCACATGCCATCATGATATCTTGCCATCCTTCTCCTGTCGCACATCTGTAATTAAACAGATTATATGACATTAAATTAAAGGTCTTAAAATGATTTTTCATACCGAAATAGAAGTATCACTGAATTGAAGAACGACTGGAAATTGTTGTGGCGATTGATTTCGGTAGCGGCATTCAACCAGATGTTACCGAAGACCTGGACGTAGTAGAGTGGAGCAATTTGATAAGAGAATCGAGGGGTATGTATGATCCAACCAACGTCTATGTGGATTAGGAACGCTGGATCGAGGCATGTAAGTGGCTGTCACAGCTAATCTGCCAATTACTGATCCTAATACGGAGCTCTTACCCGAATTTAGGGTGCCTCATGTGGTACTGACTGCTTAAAGGTAGTGAAGATAGCAGATCAAACCGTTGAAAAACTTTTTAAAACGCACACCACACCCTGATCGCATAGACGGGGCTGTGGCCTTCTTATTCCAGCACTCATTTTTATCGTTTTTATTACCGTATCGGGGGCAAGGGCCAAACTTTTGGAAGGTGACAATCGCATCCATACGGCCAGAGCACAAGGTGATTTCGAGAGCTCTTGGCGACTTCGTTCACTCTCATTATTACAGGGCGACAGAGCCCACTTCTAGTTCCCTTTACGGTAGCAACAAGTCATACCTAAGCGTTAGGGGAATGTGCCTTTGAATGAGCTTACAGTGAGAACAATAGTAAGACCCTACCTGCATACCAACAATCGCGTAAATGAAGAACAGCATGCCGATGAGAAGACAGACGTAAGGAAGGGCCTAAAAGGAGCAACAGCTTATTGGAAGTTGCCCAGAATTGAGACAGGACCTTTGCTGCTAAGCTAAACAGACCTTGAAGCTTTGAACGAAAGTCCACAACAGAATTCGAATAGTGTATCCTTGTTGTAGAAGTCGAATGAGGCGTGCTGCACGAAAAAGACGCAGGAAACCAAGTGAAACGAAATGTCCTGAAAAGTATACAGTGGACAACCCGACCGAAATCCCTAGAATTTCGAGATTTTATGGAATCGATGTGAAACATTAGGTCACAACGCAGTAACATCCATAATGAGGAGAATCGAATCGCATCGCAAACGGGACGTTATCCCTGAGTTGGCGCTATGCTTTTCCTAGGATCGCTACGCAGTAACCTAAATGTGTAAAACCGTGTCTACGCCATTTAGTGCACTTTCCAATAGACATCTAACTCCTCTTCCACTTGTTCGGCCCCATAGTTCCTTATTCTTCAATTTACACCAGAGACATACATAGACTGCGCAGGCAGGATGGACTTGTGAAGAAGTGTGGGAAGGAATCCGAAATTCTGAACTCATCAACCATCTAAGATTGTTCAAATCAAATCAAGTGACGCTGTTGCCTCCGTCGACCTTCACAACAACATGGATGGCGATTGCGAAAGAACGAAAGGAATGGTTTGTTGCTGGTGCTCGCAGATGAAATGAGGACGAACCGTATAAGTATTAGTAAGTAAGTGACACTGTTGCATTTCTCAGATCAGGTGGGCCGGATGCGCCATGCCAATTTGTTATGACCGTTGGCCCAGAAAAGTTACCCGCGGATTCCTCGGGACGTCAAATGAACACCGCTTGCCCATGGGTCAGATTTCTGCGTAGGAGTACACGGGATAGACGAGACACAAAGTGCTTCCCAAACAGCGTCCTGACTTGCATAATCTGGCACATGACAGAGTACAGCGTGTCAGCACTCGCTCTAGGAGTTCATTGATCATGTAACAGCTTGCATCACGAACAAGGATGTCGCACTAGGTAAAGTTAACACGCTTTCTATTGATCATAAAGACCGGTAGTTATGGAGAGATTCATGCGTACATAAATAGCGATGAGCAGAAAGTAAAATCAGTAGAAACGGCATAGAACAAGTCGAAGAATTTCAAAAGTACCTCCAAATTCAGTGACCAACGCATCAGTGATGGAGCCGACGACTGTCACAAAATCGAATCTGTTCCAACCATCTCGGAAATAATTCTGCAGAATGTTCATTTCTCATGTTTACACCAAATGAAGAATAGAGAAACTAAATGTGGAATCAAATAACCGCCAACTTACTCGAACTCCAAACGCGAGAATCTTCAGAATACTCTCCACAGTGAACACAGCTGTTAGTGCGGTGTTGAATAATCTGAAACAACTTTCGAAAATCGAAATTCGTTAGAGCAAACTTGTTCAATCACACCTGAGGACTTTTTCGTAAAAGTCGGAATTCCCGTGAAATTTCATCATAAGAATGATTGTGTTACAACAAATCATTGCCATAATGAAGTATTCAAAGGGTGCTGAAGTGACAAGCCGCCAAATTCGATATTTGATTGAGTTCTTGTCTTCCGGCATGAACAGAGAGCGTGGTCGAGCGTTCAACGCAAAATCGATACACTGCTTCTGAAACAACAAGTTCTTACAATTTGAAGCTAAATGGAAGACTTTATCCGTATTTTTGGAGTTAAGAGGCTGGCTACGTAAACTCTTGTGTGAGGTCGTGAGCTCAAGAAAGGGCCTATTCTGCACGATTGGTCTAACGTTTTTCCGTTTCAACTAAAGAAAAAAAGCATCTTCCTAATACAATTTTGAAAGAATGTTGTACAAGTAAGAAATGTGAGCCCGTCTAAAGAAAGTAACTGCCAGCACTTCATCGCATATGTAAATCCGGCTGACGTAGTGTAGCGACAACTGACGCCGGCTACCACTTACATGGGCCGAGATCACTTCCTAGATCGAATCTTGACCAGGCCGAAACATCCCTCCCTGGATTCGCTTAGTTGGTATAGGCTCTAAGACAATAAACACTGACTGATGCGTCTCCTGGCCTCTGAAAGTCGTAGTTATGGAGCGAGCCGCATTAGAATGCCGTAGCGATTTTTAACGGGGATGAAGTGCAAGGCGTATCGTACATTACCAAGCTACCTGTCCTTATGCTTTATTCTTGGTCCTTTTTATGGCTGAAATCACTTCCCAGGTTTTAATTCCTTTGTCTTGCGGTCTTTTCAGTCAAAAAGCGTGGTTATTGGCGAGGTTAAAAGGATAGACTTTCATGTGACTTCGAGCTGAATGTGACTTGAAGGTAACTGCAAAGCGCAATCAAGCCAAAGTGCTTTCAACAAGATTTCGCAAACTCGTCACTCGATGCCTTGTAACCTTTCCAAACAGCTCCTTCATTATTAATGTTGATTATCATTATCATATGTAGTTTATTGAAGGATCCATCTGTTTGTTACCTGGATCTTAACCCATTGGCGACATTGCGGGTCGATGTGGGAACGCAGCATAGAGATAATTCTTCTACGCAAGATTTTCAAAATTATTATAATGGCACATTAATCAAAAAGGCGTTGTAGTACTTATGGTAATCGTGGCCCATGCATATCTTTCATAAATAATGTTTTACATAAGCGGTGCTAAAAAAGCGATTTTTTAAAGCAAGGCTTGTTATTTTTAAGTGTATACGGCTGGCTTCTTGTTTTCAGTTAGCTAGAGGGCTGGCACAACTTCTCACTAGAAGAGAACGGGATTCGACCCTATTTGCCAATTCTGGAGTGGAAAATTGAAGTTCTCCTCGCTTGCTCCGCTCCACCCTGCTCTGCTCCACCCTGGGCCGAACGAAAAGATTTACGCTCATTTCGGGTGCGATCGGGAAAGTTTGAAATGTGCAAAGTCTCAACAGTGTCTGCTTTGAGATCCACATTTTTGGTGCCAGTACATAGTTTGGTGCATTACGACGCATTTTTCGAAAATATAAAAATCGCATTGTTGCCAATGGTTAAGTCTGCTTAACACATGCGAGTAGGCACTATTCCCATCTAAATTTGGATGACTAGGTTAATAATCTATTTGATCTCTAAGAAAGGGAGAGTCAAATTTCCGTTCACAATATGCAAGTAATTATTTCGGAAAGCAGTAATTATTACCTGATTCTTATCCAAATCACCTTCTGACAGCTCAGCTTCGCCCTGAAAGTGATCAAGTAGTCAATACGCATCCTTAGCAAATTTACAAAATTCGATTTCAAAGTGCAAAGAATCAGAGTACTCACCTGCTCTTGAAAAGTGATGATAATCAGTGCAACGAAAATATTGACGAAAAAGAAGGGAAATACAATAAAGAACATCACATAAAATAGTGCAACCTGTAAACAGCTTATAAAGGGTGGTTCGGAAAGCTCGCTCTGGTATAATTAAGAAAAAGGAAAACTATTATAAACATAACCGCCAACGATCTTTTCACAACCTTGTGGGGACTTGCTCGTTAAAATTCTTCGCTGACAAACAAAAACGCAATAAACGAATATTCATGAAAAGGAAAATGGGTAGTGGAGACGGTAGAGGAGATCGATGTCGACGATTCATCTTTGAATATTATTTCGCTCTAACGTGATCAGTGGAGACGTTAAGTGTAACAAGTAATAAAGAGACGTTAGGAAACCATCGACAAAGCCAAAGATAAAAGATTTCTCTAGTAGCAAAGAGGCGACGTAACATTTATTTACGAGCGGGATCTATAGGTGGTTGGTTGAGTCTATGCTTCATCCCTGGACCTAAGGTCTCTGCCTTGTTAATTCGTGGCACCAGGCGGGGACATGACCTTCGCTAGGGCATCCACTTCTCACATGAGAGCTCCATTTCTTCCATAAATCCCGGACTTCGCCTCTAAATATTTGACTCAGGTAATTGATCAGTCTATTTCATGATCAGGCGAAGAGATCGAGCCCAAATGTGACGTCCTTACTTTAATTTCCTCAACGTAATAACTGATTTTGTTGCCTAAATGTGTGGGCTCCGACTGTTTACTTTTTATACACAGATTATTTCACGATTAGATCAAAGCCGAAACAAGAAACAAATAGGATACCTCGACCCGATAGAAAGGACTTGGTCCCTGGTCTTCAAATGTAGTATCCATTGAGTTCTGGCGAATACCCGGCCATCCCTCACCCGTAGTCACCACAAACAGTGTGAGCATAGCGTTGATCGTATTGTCGTAGTTGAATGGCCGAAGCCTCCATTCTCTCTGTTCTACACGAGGTGGTTCGTTCTAAAAGAATAGAAAGAGAACCTAGAAGACGTCGCAAATTGAAAAATCTCTTGAACGGCACGAAAAGTGTGGCATACCTGATTGTCGAAAATGAAAAATTGTCCATGACACTGATGTGCAAAGCGTTTCGTTTTGTCGGTGCAGTAAAAGAATTTCCCATTAAAAAGCTGAAACACTTTTCGAGTGAATTTCATTTTGAAAGCTATGCAAACAATGGTGACTTTTCATATGGGAGCGCAGCGCCTTATGGAAAATTTTATTTATTATTCAAGATTATTATTTTACTTTATTTTTGAACAGTGATAAGGTTTCACAAGAATGCTGGGTTGTGAACATAACTTTCGCCCCAGACGAAGCTGTGGTAAGTATACCACGAAAAGCTCAGTTGGGATGATACGGTGCCCCGGTAGCGTACGGTAGCGCACTTGTTCGAAAACGAGGGGTGCGGGTTCGAATACCGTCTGGGCGAAAGGTTTGTTCACAACCGAGCATTCTTGTGAAACATTCGCATGGCTAACTGCATCCGAAACAGCAGTTAACATACAAAAACAAGTCAAAATTCAATGATAAGATTTAGCAAGGTCGCTTCATTTTCTGACCTCCCCTTACTTAAAGGCAAGCCTCGGGCTAAAGCTGGAGTCGTGTAGGGTGGTTGAGCTGCGGAGTCAAGTAAAAGTGGGAAGAAGACGAACGAAACCGTAGAAAACGCTAAGATCACGGGCATAAACTTTGAGAAACTAAAGTAAGGCCGGATGTGGTACGACGGCGTTTCAGATCGACCAGAGAAACAAAACGCGCGAGAGAGCATGTGTATGAGAGAGCACACTGATCGAACACCACATCAATCGCGGTAGGTGGGGAGAGTTGTGACAGTAGCATATCCTCAAGATTAGCGCCCTGACCGTGGATTTTGTGTGACGAAGCTGGCACGACATCTGTAGGTGCGGAAGCAACAAGTTCACACACGGCGAGGTTCCTATTGGTTCACCAAATCCTGCCTTTAAGTTCCCCTTTACTAATCTGTGGAAAGGTGTCAATTCTGCAATAAAAGTAGGGGAAAAAAAGAAAAAAACTGTGATTGAATGTAATTTACCTGGACAGCAATCACCCCAAAGATGAATTGAAATAGAAAGTATACAATCAAAATGTTGAACACGTTTTTAAGTGAATTGACGACGCAGTCGAACACAGCCTAAATGAACACGAATTCGCTTTCACGAACAACTGCAGGTTGTGATGTTTTCAGTAGCTCCTGCCCATCATGGATCAGGAAAACGTGAACAAGGCACGGCGTATCCATGATTGGTGCTGAATTTTTGACCACCAATCACAACAGGCCGGGCGCATGGTGCATAGACTTCGTTTTTTATCATTATTTACTCACCAGAACAGGCCCACAAATTTTGATGAAGCTTTACCAAGCGCTCGTGACAGGCACATACACAGATTCAAGTAACTGTAGAGAACACGAAGTTGCTTCTTACCTTCAGCTTTGGGATCCTCTTGATAGTCTTCAATGGTCTCAGCACACGGAGCACTCTCAGCGATTTGATTGTGTTCAAGTTCTTACCAGCCGACCCTTCAGTACCACTAAATTGCAAACAATCTTTTAAATCGAAACATAACCGTCGTTGTGCTCTGAATATATCCTTAGGCTTTCTTGGATGGGTGTTCAGAAGGGTTTTGGTGAAGTGCGGTTAATATGCTGTGCTCCCTCGTGATATTGGATTTTGCACGGCGACTCGCATGAAATATTTCGTTTTCTCGCAGTTTACTTCTGAAACAGTCCTCCTGTACAAGGGTCATAACCTGGGGATCTAAAGGTTGTGTTGTTCAAACGTCTGTCGATTCTTCATGAGGCTGCTGGCGCTGCGTGGTACCTATGATTGACCTAGAGCTTTACCATCATTTATGACTTCATATATAGTAGGGATGTTTCTCAAAGTTAGTGAGAAACAGTTAAAAAAAGGGATGGAAGTAATTAGCACTTACGCGAAGCCAAATGCAACAAGAGCACATGTCACAACAACACCATCGAGTATGTTCCAGAAGTCACGGCAGTACGACCCAGGATGAAGTATTATGCCCTGATCGATCAGCTGAAATGAAATAAGCGATAACATGATGAGGTCAAAACTGAGGCGAAGAACTAACAGTAACAGATGTACATAAAAGCCGCATTCTATTGAGTGAATAGATGTGCTATGATCAAGTTCTTGGATGTGGAGCATTGAAAAGAGTAGATGACATATCATTCTCGCGGCCCGAAAATGCGCAACAAGAGCCCTAGAGCCTTATCACTAGCGTCACTGTATATCGAGCTCAATATCCTTCGCGAAGCAGCCATCTACACCGCATTGTGTCTGCGTCTTGCTCGTTCCCGTGTTCCCTCGCTTGCCCAGTGACTCCTGGTCATGACATGTCTTTCCCGAAGTCGTCCTTTCCATCTACTGACGTCTTCATTTCCTTTTTCTTACACGGACTGTCCACTGGCAATTTCGAGCGCAATTACCTTATGTGGGTTACCGTGAAGCGTGTTTTTGCAGTCTTAAAGGAGGAATTCACGATTAGAATGAAGGTCGAAGAAAGGGAAACTGACCTAGTTGAGGGACCCATGGACCTCCTGTGGATGCGAACTGACGCGCAATTTGCATGGAAAAATTTGACCTCGGCGACCTATCATGCCTCAAAGCTGGCGGGTCCGGCGATCTCCGCCCACCGACATCTGATCACTCGCCGTAGTTCAATACGTGGCGAGTGATTAGATAGCTGAGAGAGCGTAGTGTTGAAGGGGCACAGCGATGGGAGTCGCACCAATACTCGAATCAACGGGCAAGGAAGGGGTACCATTTCTCGGGTTCTGGACCGTTTCTCATGGTTCCCCCTGCTTTCTTGTACCACTCACCATCCCTAGGTTAATTTGGAATAAGTTGCTTTCTCATCGTGAATTCGTCCTTTAAAATAGAACAACTTGAATCTAAATTAGTACATAGTTCGGAAGAACCGTAATGTATGATCAGATATACTGCCTATTCCGCGCCGGACGATGGGGCAGCTCTGTGCTTACTGGTCTCCAAATATCCCTAGTAGATTATCCCCCATTTACAACGTATTATAATATTATACATTCACACGCGCTGCGTGCCATTCAGTTCCAGCTTCACAAGGAGGACTAGTAGTGAATCTAGCATTGGCTCACCTTCAGAAGCATTTCGCACGCGAAGACACCAGTGAAACAGTAATCCATATACTGTAGCACCTTGTTCCTGAAACAGGAAGTTTTCCAGCATTTTGTACTTATCCAGATGACTCCAGATTTTTTTCTCATCTGACGACATTACTTTGGTGATTAGAAAAATCATTACCTCGGATTGTCCTCATCGACGGGGTCCTCAGCAGCTAGCGAAATAGACGACAAACAAATCACTCCCATCACCATCATTTCGAAATATTTTGTACAGACGATACTGTGAACGAGAACGCGTAGCCTAGAGTGATGTTTTAGTGATAATTTAATTCAATACATGAACGTTGTAAGGTGAACGTAGTAAACGACAGGCACAAAACTGCAAAAAAATCCAAGAGTGAAACATACGGGTTTGATGGAGACAGGAAGAACATCGATGTGTAGGGAACCATCGGTCGGGGACCACCAAAAGGTGACTCTTCTTCTTCGCACTCTTCATCTTAAAATCAAATCATATCATTTTCATGCGGTTAATATGTTGGAGCACTTCCCTCTATGTTGTAACTAGGCCCAGCGATTGGGAAGTGTTTTTCTCTTGTTCTCTAAATTGTCTCTGATTCCCTCATTACCTATTGCTAACGCCTGTCTCTGTCTCCATCTATTCATTATGTGCATGCTACCTGTGTAAAGTTGGATCTAGCGCTCCCGTGTACAACATAATGTTTGGCTCATTGAAGAGCAAGAAGCTCTCCAGAAGCTATTAAAAATAATGGTATAAAAGCGTACCATCATCCTGATCGTTTCCATCCATGTCAATAGCACAGTGGTCGCCATCCTGCAAAATGAATTGAAAATGGAGGAGACTAGAAGCTGGAATTTTTGTGGAAAATATAACTAGTGAACAATGTATGTAACACTGAGTGCTCTCTATGAACACCTTGTGAAAGCGCCGAAGGCCAAGAAAAAAGTGATGGTTAAAGGCAGGTAGTACGTTACGTTATAGGTCGAGGAGAGGCAATATACCCACCAGGGTTAACCCTATGTTGCTACAAGTAGCAACGGGGGGTCGTATTTTGATGAGTTTGTAGAGGGGGGGTCGTATATTTTGATGATTTTGTAGAGGGGGGTCGTATATTTTGATGAGTTTGTAGAGGGGGGGGGTCGTACTTGTTTCGATTGTAAGAAGTTGCATGAGATGAGTGGGGAGTGGTGCGGGAAAAATTCGCCGTTTCTGCGCGCGTATACTCTCCTTACAAAATGAAGCGTGGGATTATAGGTAGAAGTGGGGTAAATTGTGGAAATTTAGGGAATTTTGGTAAATTTTTACTGTTTCAGAGTTACTATATACCCCCGCTCGACGAGATTTTTGGAGGAAAAAGTGGGCGGAGTTTGGTGGGTTGAGTGGTACCAGAATGAAATACTATAGCGAGGAATATGGCGGTCGAGGGTCGAGAATGGGAGTCGTACCAAATCCACCTTAGGGAGGGGGTCGTAAATTTTTTCGAAAAGTAGCAACGATAGGACCGACCCTGATACCAGAGCGGGACGCGGGCGTTTTGGCGCGCTGGCGGGGGGGGGCTTGTTAGCCTTACAAGGCCTTACGACAGCGGTGAATTCCTTCCCACTTGCCTACGCCCACGGATTGACTACCCCAGCTGCTGGTCCTTTCAACTCCCTTTAGATAAACGAGACGAGCCCTCCAATAACACCACACTCACATTAATTGGAATAATACAAAACCAAGCACATTAAATTATAACTAAATTCAGCAATTAGCACCTAACTTTTTCAGCAATGATCACGTAATAATTAATGTTCTGGGACTGACGAAGCTCACCGGTTCTTCCTCTTCACTGTCATCCATTTCATTAGCTTTCTCATCGGCCTCTTCAGCTGCAGTCAGCTCTTGAGCATTCGCCAGGTTATCCACGGCGATAGCCAAAGCTTCAACAGCGTGTCTAAACAGAACAGCCAAAAGTTACAAGGGAAGCTGTTGTTCCTTACCAGAGGGAAAAGAGTTAGAATGCATGTGGATGGACTCACAGTTTCCGAAAAGTACCAAAACAATGAAATAGATACAGTACACCATTCCTCCACCATAAATGCCGCCTTGCGCTTCTATGGCTAGATACATCACCTCATTCCAATCTTCGCCAGTGAGGATCTGGAACAATACAAAAAATATCATGTTGAATACGGTATCGTCTGATGCAGATAGTTTACATGAGTGTAAGGTAAAAGCTGAGCAAAGAATTAATTAGTTTTCCCTCGGGATATGAATAGATCCGCTCAAATCCGCTAAATTGCAGTGCTTGCTTTACAACCTTACCAGTGTTTTCCAATGTTGGCCGAGCTAGAAGAAGGATTTTACCGCCCCTCCCGCCCTCCTTCCCGAGCTATGGCGCTAGTTCGGAAACTTCGTAAGGTGAAATCTGGGCTTGGGCGAGAACCGACTCGAGAGTGGTCTGTGTAGACTTGGGTAAATTTGTGTTCTCGTACTAAGTGCTGGAAAAGCCGTAGACAGCGTGACCTACCCCTCCTCTGATTCACATCAACCAATGCTTTCCATCGTGAATCACTCACTGTTCAGGCCTATAAAATGCTACTTGACGAATGGAGATAGCACACTAGTCCCTGCTTTCCCAGGGCCAGACAAAAACCAAAAGGCCGAAACTTAGCCCGGAAAATCCTAAGATCTTATGAGTAGGTGCGAAACCACATATTTTGCTAGTAGTGCCACTACCGGTGCTACCTCAATCCGCCTAATCCGGAATACATGCTTTACGAATGGAGTTACTATGCAGCTTTGATTATAAGATTGAGTCATTACATCTTTCTATAAACAAAATGGGAAGGTGTCAGGCATACTTACCTGGAATACTGTAATCAAGGCAACAGGAAACGTATCAAAGTGGGTGTATGGATGCATTGTGGGAAAGTTGAACCTAAAATCAACAATCGATGATCCTGAGTATCCATAAATGTCGATTTAAAGCAGTCTCAACATTCAAAAATCAAGATGGTCACCCGATTTTAAAGACACACGCCACGATGAGGTGAATGGAACGAACAAATGACTCAAAGGACGGGTCATAGACTGTGCGATACGAAGCATCCTTGTGGTGGAACAAAGCTCCAAGTTCGGCAGAAGTGGGGCTATCATGTTCCAAACTGTGATCCGCTTGTCTCGCTCCAGACCCACCCACCGCTACGGTGTCATTCTTCTGTATCGTAACTGATTTTCCTTCGTCTTGTGATTTTTTCCCTCCACTCATTATCTCTTATCTACCTACTTGGCTGTTGCACTCCTCCACAGCGTCAATGAAAGAGCCTCGTACCTTAAGTTTTCTGGGGATTATTTTTCCTTCTTCTTATTACCGACGACCCCTTTCGCACTCTTATTTTCATATTCGAGTGGAAACTTGAAGTGTGCCCAATAGGGTGCACCCGAAGCGCAAGGGCCATCGCATGCGTACTGTTAATAACACAGAACAGTACAGTATTACTAGTGGGATCAACTTGATAATAACTTTTTATATTGAACCTTAACGGAGATAGATTGCAAAACATAATTAGGAATAATGAAGCGGCTGTTTTTCTTTGTGATAGTGGCGTATTGAAAAAACTTACTTGCCACCGAATAACTGCATTCCAAGTAGAGCAAAGATGAGAATAAAAAGGAAAAGCAGGAACAACAATGAGATAATACTTCGCATTGAATTCATCAGTGACCGAACCAAATTACGAAGAGACACCCAGTAACTGTAATAAATTCATAAAGAGCAATATTCCACTCAATTAAAAATTTAACAGCCCAGCGAAGTACTGTTCAAAATAAGATCTTTGACTAGTGGACCTAACAACTGCTTTGGTATCGGCTTGAAAAACAGCCTATCGGTGACGAATGAATTGATTCGTTTGGTCCATGCTTCTTCAAAAAGCTTTATAATGTGGCCCAAATGAATAGTTCCGCCTTCAATTTGATTGGGTAGAGGTGGCGTAGCGACAAGTGGAGTCATTCCCCACGCGTGCGATCCGAGGATCAAATCAAGTATATCTAACCTCCGAGCGCTCCATCCCTATGGGGTCGATTGTTTAGTACGACACTCGCCTAGGAGTATGGAAACAGTAACTACTTATGTTACGTAAGATGGTCATTGCAGGCCATGGCGTAAGTAAATACGCATTGGATTGCCTCCTAACCATGCAATGATTCTGAATGAGGGTTGAATGCGTGGCGCATGAATGACAGAGACTGTAAGAGGTGCAAGGAAGGAGAAGGTGCTACAGTGCTAACAGCGCTAACAGCTAAAGGAGAACATTGCGCAAATAAGTTCCGCTCCCATTATGGGCGAAATAAAGATCTCTATAAAATAGAATTCAACGCCAACAACTACAATGTTTCCTCATTGGAAAAAAAATGGTGCGGGAGAAGATAAACACGCCCAAGCTACCTCTACAGTCAACAATATCAGCCAGTCATCCAGCACTCTGGAGGAGGGCACCACCTTCGGGTCTTGCTCAGGAAGGCTAAAGCTGTTATTGTTTTCACTACTATTGCTGCGGAATTCATAGCTATGTACAGGGGTGGCCAAAAAAAGAGACGCATCACTCCACATTCCAGACAGCGTTAATCACAATTTGCTAAAATCAAATCGACTGCCCCCAACTGAATATTAAAGAGCACATTATATTCTATCAAAAGGTTACACAACATCTTTCTACACTGACACCATCCGAAGATTTTCGCACGGAAACATGGTTTGCGGTACGAGTTCAACGAGGGCTTCGAGGAACCATAGACCATTAAGACGTTGGAACGCCGGTCAAAAGCGGTTTTGCACAGTCACAGGTAATGTCTCTAGGATGCTCTCGATAGTTAATCCATCGAAAAAATTACGTAGCTGCTCCAAGACTGAGCGATCACGGCAAGCCTCGTTGAGCTCGACGGTAGCTACAGATGACGTTATATTCTGAAGACGGCGGGAGTAGTGTAAGAGTGCCTGCCTCTGTTAATGGGAGAACACCTAAAGAATATTCTGCCGTAAAACCTTCGTTAAGATCGGCATCCTGTGCGACGAAAGTTCAATGATGTGCGCCATGGGCAAAGTGTCTCTTTTTTGGCCAACCCTGTATATGCAGTTATTAGCAACTTTGCGACCGGGATTAGCAGCAACGTCGGATGCCTGACCATAATGGATGTAAGTTTTTCGCACTCTGAACTCGGAAAGAGAATATACAAATCACGATGTTACTCAATTCGCTAATAATATGTAGTTCGGCACATCTAGCTAGCTGCCGTGAGCCTTGTCGAAGTTGTCAACTACCATCAGACTTGTACACCCTCTTGCGGATCTGAAAGGAAATGAACGGGACTTACGACGTTAGCTTGAATATCCTGAGCAATCGCAGCGCTCTCAGCACTGAAATACCAAATGAGCCGCCTTTCACTTCAGCCCATATAACTTCAAATGCCGAGCCGACAATGACAATGCAATCAAAGCGATTGAACTGAAATGAACTTTTTATCTGAGGGATTCCACAATTTTATTCTTCAGAGATGTCACCTTTGACGCGAAATATGTACGCGAACCCATGGCAAACAATTTGAGCAAGACTTCCATAATAAAAATTCCTAGAAAAACGTATTCGGCGTACTCTGAAAAAGCAGTAATTAGACATGCTATTTTGGATGGGTTCCGGAAAATCCTCTTGTAATAACTAACGTAAAAATTTTGTGAGCCACGGTGGCTGCCCGTAGTGTTCAGACGCGACACATGCCGTGTTCAGAAAGACCAAAGTGATGACGGACCAATAGAATACTTGCGTCTTCACTATTACCCGCATTTGGATTCTGTAAGGTAAAGGTAAATGAAGATAAGGTCATAATAAAGACCATGTCTCACTAAAGGTCGCTTCATAAGTTGCGGAGCTTATTTATATTTTTTTTTCGCTATGAAAATCTCGAGAATGGTTTGAAATTTCAAAAGTGCACTGGAAAGTACAACTGACATTGGTCATCATATAATACATTATGATAATAATGCTATGATATTATGGTAATACAATATTATTTAATTTCTATTATACTTTTCGCTTTACACACCGCTTCTGAAGCAGCTTTTGAAGGAACGCTTTCTTGGCATCATTCCTCATAATGCTTAGGATCTCATAATTTTCTGGCTGCATAGATTTGCAACCAAGATTTCCAACCATTCTTATTAAATTTACTACTACAAGGATTTTTCCACTAGTAGCTATTAGTCATTCACCAACCACCCATAGCTGTCAAAATAGATGCTTCACATAACGCGCGAAAAAACCTGAAGAAACTGAATGTTGTTCGGCAGAGTGATTTTTTGAAGTTTGATATCCATGGATTGGAAGACCCTTCAAATGAGCCGCTCATTACCCTAACCTGGTGCCAGCGGGGTAACACCTGCCCAATTCCCTGTCTCATTTCCTCGGGAAGATACACGCTAACAGAAATCGACGTAAAACTTTCAACTTTCTTCGACCTAGTCTAAGGAACTCTGCAAGAGAGGCATTGATAAGCTTCCCAAGGTATTCTGTAGATTATGATGGATGGCGTCAGATCGAACAAAAGAATAAAGGAATAGTGAAAAATTCGAGTAGAAAACAACGTAGGTGCTCCGAAAATTATGGACCGATCTGACACAAAGGTACTAACGGGTTACCTCGCTTTTCGGATTCTCTTACACACAGCATAGTAACAACCTCGACGACGGCGTTCTAAATGAATACAGTTAGATTGCTATAGCATACAGTAAGACTGTAGAAACAAGTGCTGCTGCAGTATCCCAATAAGTGATTGGAACCCATACAAAAATTCTGCTCCATCAGTACACGCAAACTGCAAATCATGCAAACATGCAAAAACACGTGGCCGAGCCGATTTCCCCATGGCTGTGTTGCGCATTCGACACACGTGCGATAAATCAATATATTGATTGCTTCACTCCCTGTAATTCACCCGCTGTTTTAAAATACTATGCACAAAGAGGCGAAGCGTGGTGCGATATAGAGCAGAACGCGTGCGATTCGTTGACGTCATGCACAGCACTCGCGTCTCTACCGAAATCTTCTCCTGGCTCGCCTCCCTCGTCGAGATATTCCTCGTCGAGTTCCTCCTCCTCCTCTTCCATGTCCTCTTCAGTTTCCGTTGACTGTTGCTTGGATGCATCCTTCATCTTCTTTTTCGTCTCAGCTCTACGACGACCTGCAAAAATCTCTTCGGAGAACTTTTATGTTGTCAGCGTAATCAATCATTATAAAATGGATTTCTGCTTTTCACAAAGCCTCGTAGGGTACAGAGAGTAGAAGGCTGTTTCGCCCAATAGCCCTACTTTTAAATTTACAACTACACCTCATTTCAACCGAATGTATCGCAACGACAGTGGTCGCCGTGCTGGGGAGACTTCAAAAAGTGGCTTTTGGCAAGATGGGAGGGGAGGGGGGGGGGTAAATCCCTCGTGACATTCGGGAGGTAACCTAATCCATTGAAATTTTTGGAAACGCAGCCTTCGCTCCCCCCATGGTGGGGTTTCTGAAGATGGAGGGAAGGCTGCCAATTAAAGGTGGAGAATTACCGGACGAAGACTGAGCTGTATATGAGTTCTCCTTCAGCACGCGAGTCGATCCCAAATATTCCTAATTCTCCTAACGAACACAATAGCTGGCCTAACTGGAGGTTTATCTATTGAATACGGTCTCTTCCATAATGGAAGCTCTGCGTTCTAGTTAGACCAAAATGAAACGAGATCAACAAGACGATAAAATGTGATTATATCATTCAAGAATCATTATGGAAAATAAGATTCACCGTCAAGAATTGCTTGTTTCTCCTCTTCAGTAGTCCGATCTTCTTTGAGAATCACCTCCTCGGCCGCCATAATCCATTCGAGGTAGCCGTTGAGCTCACGTTCGATCTGCTGTTGTCGACGAAGCTTCAGGAATTCACGACGATTCTCCACTCGCTCTCTTTCTTTCGCAAATTCTCTTGAAACATGTGAATTAGACAGAATATATCAAACATCACAAATGTGTGTAGCATCACCAAATAGAGTCACAGGAGAAATTCGTCGGTTACGCTTAATCTACCACAACTATGCCCTATGGATACAAAGTTCTTTGCCTATCACTATCAAGTAAAGAAGTATATTTTCACAAGCATGAAATTATACTTGGTCTGCAGCTCTTTCTCGGCTGCCGTCGCAGGAAGGTAGTCATTTTAACCTTTTGAATGGGCGCGGCGAAATGCTATGAATTAGAGGCGCAGTAGTAGAAGGCAGCTCCAAGCTAGACGAGCTCAGTGGCGCAGGGAATGAAAAAAACATGAGAAACGGTCCGGCGTATAAGAAATAGAGGAGAAATAGAACCCCTCCCTTGCCCGTTAATCTCCCATTGACATGAGTCTCACCGGTGCTGCCCTCTTCAACGCTAACACTATCTCTGCTAAACGGCTGTAGATTTGCGAGAATGTTAGCCAGTTCGTGGGCGTGCCGTATCGGTAGCGGCGCGAGTACGGCAATACTAGATTGCCGCTGGCATAGCTCGCTGCAGACTGTTTGCCGGTCTACCCTTGACGGGCCGCCTGTCTTTCCGCTAGGTAAGTTTCCGCTTCTTCGACCTTCGATCCTAGCGTGGAATCTTCCATTAATGTCATAGAACTTTATTTTTACTATTATATATGTATTGTCACGTTTTGAGAACTACAGTATAGGGTTTACCGATTGTTGTTCGGCGAAAGTAGGGGCGGCGCTACCTATTCTATACCAGTTCACAATTGCATGTCAAACCCAAGCGCTCCTGATACAATGCAATTTGGAATGCTCCTCATCAGAGCTTTTCATACACAACACATGGCAGAGACCGTGCCGTTCCGCTCCATGGGAAACGAATTCTTATGGCAATTGAGCGACGGTTTCCTGTGCTATTCATTACTTCCATAAGAATGTTAGTCAATAGTCTTTATACGGTAACAAAAACTAATTCCAAAGCTTGGGTAGACCGGTAACACATATGGGTTACCATGGAGTCAATACCACTATGATGGTCGGTGTCGTTGTTGCGGTTAACCTTCCAGAAATCAATTGTAGGAAATCCTATTAATGTCTGAGTTTCCTCAGACTGTACACTGCTGTCAGTTCAACTCTGAGGCAAAAAGCTTTGTAAAAGCGATATTTCGTTTGCCGCTGGTTCTCCAGCGTATTGCTTATTACTCGACGAACAATAACACCGTCCCCTTTTTCGACAACAAGAATTCCCAAAGGAAAAGGCGAATATTTCATGAACGGCGCGACGACGTAGCAGCAACGCGTACCCGGAAAGAACACCGAGGACGAGATTCAGCATGAAAAATGAGCCGAGCACGATAAGTGGAATGAAATACGCCCAGTTGTAGGTACTTCCCAGCGAGTCGTTTGTCTGAAAATACAGGTGTATATGAAAACAATCACATCCCCAAATGCAAAAATTTTTTTAAGATTGCTAGTAGAGTACTGGTTTTGCTACAAGAACGTAGCACAACATTGTGCCTCATTCGTACTCATTTGAAGGGGTTTCCCTAGCTGTAGGGCTATCGTGGAATATTTGTCGCATCCCTTCGAATAGATACTATTCAACTATGTTTTCAACTATATTTTCCTCCATAATTGGTTTCATAAGATTGCGGCTTTGCTCATAACAAAGTATTCTACCTAATATGCATGATATTACGTACATTCGGACCTTCAGCCCTGCAAATGTGCAACTAACGCACACAATTTTATGAGGAAGTTACACAAACGTGGGAACTAATGTACAGCGATGGCCCTTTTGTGAGTTCCGTGGTCGAAAATATCCACTACCGCTGCTTTTTAGCTAAGATTTGCGACTCAGCACGTTTCCGCTGGTTTTCAGTTATGTGAAGCCAGTTTGGCACGCTTTTGGGCTCGTGCGCTAAGACCTAATGTGTCGCTGCACACTCTTTAACCTCTAGGATAGCGGTTTCATTCGTATGACGTTGGGGGGGGGGAGCGAAGGGGGTATGGGGGAAATTCAAAAGAGTAAGCCACTTATAATACTTGGAACTAAACATTGGGGAGGGAAAGGCCCTTTTAAAGAGTTCTGAAGCGCGTTTTTCCTATGTACTATTTTAAATGTCCCCTTTAAGGCCATGAGCGACGCTGAAAGTTTTAGCCAAGAACCTTGGCATTTTTCCTGGTGGTAAATTTAGCACTTACTTAGCACGGCTCTAATTTTTAATACTTGCTAATATAACAGTCACAACGCTGCATTTCATCTCATAATCTCTCAAAAAATCTACCGCTGCAGTTTTTCGTGCTTTCGAAATTTATTACTAACCCTTTCCAAACCGCGCACTTTTCTCGTGGCTGGCGCGCGTGGCCGGCGCTTTTTTATGCCCACCGTCGCGCGCTACTCAGCGAGCATAAACATCATATATTAGGTCTGCATTCCCACTTAAATTAATATTATGCGTTGTTTGTGTCTTTTTTCATGTCTTAAAGTATATGTGTGGTAAATATGGCAAAAAGCTGTCCTGTAATAAAAGTGATAGGGCCATACAAAGGGAGGCAGGAGTAAAAATTGTTCAAAATAAGTTGTAATGGGGAAAAAGAGACTAGGAAGTGTCCGAAAGTTTTAGACTCAATAGCATTAACTACGTCGTGCACAAGATGGGATGAATTCGTTTGTATGAACTTTTTCTTTATGTTTGAAGTGGGAGCCCACATAGTTTTTGGTTATTTTAGGAATTATTTCGAGATTGTAGTCCAGGATTTTTCATACATACGGCATGAGTATGTTACATAGATATGTAACAACATGAAACATTTTTTAGAAAAATCGAATCCTCGGAAAAATCACTCCTTGAAGTCCCTGACACCCCATGGGTATCAGGCGGCCACAGGGACCGAATTGGACCTGACACTACATGGGTGTCAGGCGGTCCGAAAAGGGTTAATATTAACTGTTGAACATAATATATTTAAACTAATTTATTTGAAAATTTAATAAGAATCTGTGAAAAACTGTCTCATTGCTGTTATGACTGATTGTTCACTAATTTCGAACGGTAAACTCTGATATATACAAGCAGCCCGTCGACAAGAATTTAGGGAATAAGCAAAGAAGATCAAACTTGGAAAGAAATTATAGAAATCGGCGAAAACACTCACATAGTACATGACCGTTGTCCATCCTTCCATAGTAATGCATTGGAATACGGTAATCATAGCAAAAGCAATGTTATCAAACGATGTGATACCTTAACATGTACATAGAATTACTGTGTCGGTGGAAGGATACTATGATCACGTACCGTAATTAGGACCGATCCATTTATTGAGACATGTCGTGCCTTCAACATCACAGTTGTACACACCCATTGTAGTGGTTTTATTAGTGCTGAATTACGGCTTTTACCGTTCTTATTAATAAAGTCCACGTTTATCCTATACCGAGGTAAAAAGAGTTAGGTTGATGGAGACACCATTTTTTGGCTAGCGACCATATATTTTTTTGACTACGTTTCATATTTTTAACATCTCCTGAAAGCGTCTCCCGCTGATTTTCGTATATACCACCCGGATATTTGTTTCAGCTTCAGGTTCGCATGTGAGCACAAAAAACTATCAAACTACCATTTGATGAGAACACACTGAGCAATCACGATAGGGATGAAGTATGGATTTTTCGGCGTTAATGATTCCCTTGGAGATGCGCCACGCGCCCGATTACCAGTCAGAACAGTAGGCGCACTTTGAATGCTTACGTAACCTAGGATATTCGAGTTCATGCCCCGCCACGCTTTTGCTAAAACTTGGATCTTCCAGCGACTCCCAGATCAATACGTTAGCCTGTTTGCAGAAAAATGTGAAAGCTGTCCAACCACCAATCTTCATAATTAAAAGTGCTACCGCATACGTGGGCAGCAAGGGCTGTTTTCAATTGTGAACCTTCTTTGTAATGTAATCCAATATTGCAAGCCTTGAATATCAACACATATGAAACTAAATGTCGTCCACTTTAGAGGATGCTCCGAGTCCAAACTTGTGGATCCAGCAATTGCAGATTTTTTATGGAGCGCATATGGCCGAAATATTGTAATAAAGTATTATAGCTACAGATGCGCTCTTTTTTAACCGGTTCTTACAAAGACTGATGTCTTGTTGTCATTTAATTCATTCAACTGATATTACAATCCCGCATAGCAGCCCAGTGTGTGGCGCATCCCAAAGCGATGAATGACTTTCAATCATTCCAACTAGGATCCCTATTATGGTAGAATAACAAAACTCACCACGGCGACGGTTTTTCGCTGACATTTTCGATTTCACCGCGATCATTGTAGCACGCCGAATGGAATGCCCCTGAATAGAACTCCAGACCGATGATGGCAAAAATCACAATGGCGAACAGAACAAGCAGTCCGATTTGCAGCAACGGCGCCATCGCACACAATATCGACTTCAGAACCACTTGCAAACCTAAAGTTAACGATTAGTATTACGTGTGCCAAGATTCATGTAACTCACATTTCCAATGAGTTTTGGCCTTTCATCTCCTTAAGTCCTTCCGATATAGCTGTATTTGCACGCATTATCGAAGATCTTGTTTGAAGCAAAAATCAGAATCAGCGCGCTGAATTATTGGACTTCCTACGGAAGCCTACCTATATCCCATCTGTCTCTTAAACACTTGACAGGTCACTAACACCTACGCACTTCACAGTTTCCATACATGTGTCGTTAAGGAGGGCCAGGGAAGACGGTGCAAACACGTGGTGGATGCAGTAATCTGCAGGAAAATGCCGAGTTATGTACTTGCGAGGTCGTGTACGCCAAGTGGTGAGCTTCTTGATTGAACTCCTTGGAATTTCGGAATTTTCATGCATTAAAGGAATCTTCCACGGAAAAAGCCCCGCCTCCATTACCACAGAAAAACGATACCTTAGGCCCCTAGCCCTAGAATGGAACATAAACGATAGTTTCGATAATATTAATCCTACACACAAGACAAAATGATCACTCTTTCCGTGGAAGATTCCCTTAAGATATCGTTTTCTGTGGTAATAAGGGCGGAGTTCTCCGTGGAAGATTTCTTTAAAGTAGTCGGCATTCGTTTTTGCCCGCTAAATAAAATATGAACTACATTTGATAGATTATCGATAGATTATTGACTCCAGGCAAAAACTTCATTCCTCTTCCTATAAGAATCTTCGAAGGCACGGCGTATTCTGGTTACGCTTTATGTTGAGCAAAAAACGCATTATCACACCACGATTATTCATTTCTATATATTTAAAGGAATCTTGCGCGGAAAAACCATGATTCTATTTCAGCCATAAATCACTGGCTTGAGACTCATTATCCCCGATAATAGTGAAAAGAACTGAAGTATTGCTTTCGTTTTGATTAGTTCGAACTCGAAAAGGCTGCTACGCGTTCAAATTGCCCCCGGACGTCTTTCACAAATGCTGCCGACGGGGATGCTCAAACTTGGTTCTTGGAGTGCATTCACTAGAAGCTCTTTCTGGCCTTCTGCTTCGTTGCATTCACATCTTACACTTCGACTCCATCCTATTCCATCGATCGATTTGTCTCCACTCTTCGAAATCGCGCGCTTTAACCCGATTTTGCGTCGCCTGGTACGTAGCCGGCCAAACGCCGTCTTCTTTCCATGCCTCGTCTGGCTCTGCCTCGTCGTCCTTCGATGGTCCATAACGTGTAGTTTTTGTACGCTTGTTCTTCAGAAACCGAATCTTCATGCGTGAAACTTTGTGCGCTATTTCCAGTGATCACAAGACATATTCATACTAGGAAAGAGTGCAAGAATTTTCCGTGCAAGATTCCTTTAAGTTTCTGTTCATTTGACCACAAAAGATTATTGATAGACTGTTTACTTCAGGCAAGTATCAGTTGAGTGATCACTAACTACATAGTACCCCTCCTTTTTGGTTTTCTCAGACACTTGAGTTCGAGGTGTGTTCGTTTTGCCGCACTCGCAAGCCTTTGAATAAATTACGTTCTGGCAGCTTGTTTTTGTTCTCAACCTCGCTAGCGCAGTCATGCTCGAATGGGTACAAAAAGCGTCTGAATACGAAATGAAGACCAACGATGATCTTTGTTCGATTTGGCTTTTCTGATTTGAAATACTGTTCAGTAAAACCAACCGCAGATATGCACGGGGGACGTGCTTTTCTCCTCCTGGGGTCAGTCACCACAGTTGCGCGATCATTAAAGCTTAAGGTTAAGTTTAGCTTTAGACTTAGGTTAAGGCTCATGCTTTCACACTGGCTTGTGCCTGAGCCTATGATTGGGCCTAGACAGAGTCCTAAGGTTGTTCCGAGAGTATGAATAGCTTCTCAATTCAAAGCGACCAGACCCTAAGAGGAGAAACGCTACGCACGCGGTGATCAAACCTACAAAATCCTCAAATTATGTGAGGATGAGTATTTCACTACAACTGTTTTTTTGCTGAGCTGTATTCACATAATAGCAATGTGAAACCCCTTGAATAAGGACTGCATTTTCATGCCCTAACTCATTTACCAGGTAAATAACCCTGAAAGCTCATAGATGAATGCGCTTTGATTTCTGGAGAAAGACACAACTTTCGCTGCTCGCCCCGCCTTTTTGGCTCGACAGTGTTATTCTGTCGAAATTTTATTCAAAAAACAAAAAAATCATAGCAAAATATGCAAGCGGACAATATGTACGTTATCGTCACGGTTTAACACGAATTTCAAGATAAGGTTCACCTCGCCAAGCTGGCTCTTCCGGTGGACTTAGCGTGTTTAATTCATTAAGGACCACACGACACTCATGGTGAACCACGCTGCCCAATTTGTGGAAATTCTTTGATGATTTGTACTATACTGTTTGTAAGACGTTTTGAAGATGTGGTTGTCTTCTTTAAACTTTAACGCGTTGACGACGATGTCGGTCAATGGTGACCGACAACTTGTAGGCAAGAAGACTCAAATGAAACCCGCAAGTTTTCAATTTCAACAATTGCTTCAGGGCTCTAGGATACTAAACTCGGCTGCGACCTGTGGTCTTTCTATGCATGAATTTTTTCTAGTATTAATTATCAACTGCAAAAATGCGCCGCAAATAGAAGTTACAGCCACAAAGTTACTACTATCAGCAAATGTAAATGTCACAAAGATGTACATATCGGCCTTTTACTATGAGCTCGCAGGCAGTACAAGCCTGTTTCTAGCCTTTTCAAACTGAGATGACTTTGATGGTGAAATATGTAGACGCAGTTTCAATCGTAGGCAAACAGAAAAGTACATATCTAGCCCCTCGGTGTCCTGATTTTTTCTCAAGCGATTTTCTGATGCTGAATTGACTTGTTTGAATCAATTTTCCTGCCTTATTTGATCTTGAAAACAAGCCAACAGTCAAATAGAGGCGTCGTTTCATCAGGCAGACAGAGTTTTTTTTTGCATCTCGGGGATTCTAGATGTCAACAGAATAACAATTCCATAGAAAGTGAAGCTCGTATGAATAAAAAAATGGATCTCTGCCTTTTGTATCAATCTCCTCCCAAGTTTTAAGGATGTCAAGCAATCCCACTGAAATTTAATCAGGCATTCAGTACTGACAATGTTCCTTTGTTTCGAAATGTGTATGGAGCACTCTAGTCATACGCGTTTTGTGTGGTTCGAGATCTTGAAGAGCTACAAAATAGACCTTGTCCTGTAGTTCCCGATGCTCTGAATGCAAAAAAAAACGCCCCCTCCCCTGCGCGCGACAAGGAAAAATACGCTCGTCGTCAACGTGTCAAGAAAGCAACATCTACTAATATCTTTTTAAAAACTGATATACTCAATGGTCGTTAAAAAAGACTATAAGATGCAAAGATTCACAAAGTACGACTGTTTGGTTCGCCATCTCTTGGTTATTCCCGACTCCGAAAAAGGGTGTCACCGAGTGACCCTTGAATACGATTTCTTGATGCAGCAGATGAGTCATTGACCTGCGCAATATTACCAATTTTGGATCGTTTAGTGTGCATTCACAAGCCTTTTGGAATAACTTACATGATAATAATAAGAAGTGGAGCATTTTCGATTTTCAGAGCCTTAGGCTTACCTGAGACAGCTTCGTGGCCCTAGAACTATAAACACTAGGAGCGAATTTCAATAGTAAACTGAACAAATTATTCCTTTTATAGGAGTTATGCACATGTCAACAGCCATGCTGCAACGGTGGTTAAGTTGATAGGTCAATCGGTTCAGGCAAAAATTGATTCTATATCGACAGGGAATTACTGAGGTAGATGCCTCTTCTGTATTTGTATCGTTATCGGGAAGTTCCTCCAGTTCCATCTCATTTCCTCGAGTACCACGGACAAGCAGTATCTCCAAAGTAATTTTTAAATGTCGTAATCCCCAATCGTTTCGTTTTGAATGCACCTTCAAAATGGAGATCAGATTGACTTTCCCGCTCACTTTTTTCTTTATCACTTAGTTAGCAATTAATCAAAAAGCAATTAACTCAATTAAGCAATTAATAATTAGGTACTGCAAATTGAACTATAATGATTACCAAGTCCGTACTATTGATAAATACGAGGATTACAAAGATTATTAACCTAGCGCATCCACTGCTGTATGCAACTAAGCCGGATCAGGCACTATTTAGAGCCTTGTGGGGTCGATCCCCAAATGAGAGTATAGATGGATCGGATGTCTATTACGTTCCTGTGAAACGTTAGTACTCAATGCAGCATGTCTGTATAATCAACTGAGCTTGCAAAAATTGCCCTCACTGCAGAAATTATTTTTCGAGCCTTTTCCGTCATCCTTAGAAGCGTTCAGAATACAAAAGTTTTTATGTTGTATGTTGTTTGTATGTATGTATGTTATGTTTATTATTGTTTTTATGTTCTGCACGCGTTCCTCCACAAAATACAAAAGTTTAGAGAGCAGTCACTTGAAACATTTCACTGAACATCTGTTTCCTCAACCTTAGCCTCTTTTGGAGTCTAACAGGCTGCTTCCTTGCAAAAATCCATACCGGCAATCTTATATAACACGTTGACGACAGCCCCTTGTGCGTGTACCTCGGCACGTTTTTGTTTATTTTTTTCACAATCGTCATAACTTCTTCAATAATTGCACTGCTCATAATTGGTGCTTAGTTTTCTGGATAAGACATGCATTCACACAGTTTTGAAATATGAAGTATGCCAAATAAATCGAAAAAGGCTGGCCAGAATTGGGCGAAATTCTGACGCGCATGCGCGCATGCTGTCGTCAACGTGATAATGTGCAGAAATCAGTTGGGAAAGGATGTAGCGTCAAAGACTTCCCTGGCAACTTTGAATAAATTGCTGGCCATTTTTAAGCATTGTGGTTGTTTTACGAGTTTTTGAGAACATACCAGCACAGCACACCCATTTATAACAATTAAAGATTTGCGGACTTGTAACACTAAACTCCGAGCAGGCTTGATCTCTCACAAACAAAACCGTACAACACACATCTATTGGTCCCTGCAAAAAATAGACCGGCTCTAGAAACGGCTCAATCAAAGCCCGAGCGACTGGCGCCTCTGCGGCATAACCAAATACGATTCCATCTCATTAGGTAGCTCCAAGTCGAAATTGGTTCAGAACAAGGATGAGTGCGTTCATCAATGTTGGTTGTATCGAGAAAAGTAACGCGGGAGCTATAAGAGCAATGGGAACAGATGATTTTCTGAGATCCAACCCACTCTTGATTTTTGAAGAGTTTTCTCCCTTATAATTCAAAACGCATTCACCTTCTGCCTTGAGTGGTATATTCAGATCAGTGTGACTTACATTTTGCCCCAATAACTTATTCACCCCTATGTGCAATTTGAACCCACTCTTGGCTGCAGCTATGTTTTATGGCTTCTAACATACAATTGGAGATTGTTCTCTATTTCCACGGCAACGAAATAGTCGTCTGGTCCATTTAATCTCGTGTGGAATATCCAATAGGGTGATCAATCCCACAGTGCCCTAGTCGGTGTTTAACCATCTGGTTGCATTCAACTCAATATGACTATAGTAGAAGATAGTAGAAGAATCTTTGGAATATTTGTATTGGTCAGCAGTACAATAATTCACTGGCAAACCATTATTTAACAGCACTAGCTAGTAATCAAGTAATAGGAAAAAAGTAAGCGGCGATAGTGTCTAAAGTTTACCTTTTCGAAGATGTACGGAAAAAAAGCGAATGAGGAATACGACATTCAAAAATCATAGTACTTTGTATGTGCTACACATCCCTAATCACTGAGGAGGGACACCCCAAAGAAGCTATTTTAAACCTGATGGGACTTGTACGTGATGGACTTGAAGAGAGCATCTGGACATGTTCTTTCCTATCGATATAGAATTTCTTTTTCCCTTTTCATCTCGTCTGCCCTATTGACCTTACCATCGTTGAAAATTATTGTTGCCCACAGGAATAACTCCAACTCGCTCCCAGTAATTCAAATTCTAAGATACCTGTACGCTGGCCCGGGTTCACCTGTGCCTTTGACTACTGGTAACGAAAAAAAGAAATAAAGTGTAACTATTCTGCCTAGAAGAGTCGCGCAAAATTCTAGGATCCGATAAGATAAGTAGTTAACTACTTATTATCGCTGCGTGGCTCTCTTGAGCAAAATAATTACACGTTATCTTATTTACCAGCATTTTTTTATTATTTCATTCATGACGCATTCGCAGAAAATTCGCTTATGCTAAGAACCATTCGTTTCTTCATGTAAAGTGTTCCAAAGCAATTGCGCATATATGACCGCGGGTGCCCACCAGGAGGTCCGTCGCGCGGCAAGACGGCAAGGTCAGCGGACAGTCGCGCGCGTATAGGGATTTCGCGTAAAATTAAGAGTGTCCCATTGCACTTCCTACATTGCACACCACGCCTTCTTGCCGCGCAACGGGCCATTAGAGGGACTCATATGACCACAGAAAAGCGTAAATGGGGTCAAGTCTTCTGTGCTTTCAATTTCACTGAACAAGTTCGCTCAAAAATGGCAGAAAGGCTCAATTCCGCGTGGTGTAAACAAAAAAGCAAACCGAGAAGTACGCTATTAATAAAGAAATTCTAGTCAAGATAAATAACTAGTCAAGAGTGTTTTTTCACTAAGCAGTGATCGACTTAGAGATGATTTCGGTGTTTCAGAACTCGGAGTACAATCAAGCTTCACGCATTGAATCGTGTTCTTCTCTGGCTTACGATTTTATGAGAACCGACTGCAAAAAGAACAAGCTGCCAGCTAGTAAATTTTTCGCTTAGAGTTAGCAACAGGTAGGTGAGAAAAGAAGAGCTTCTTAAGCAGATTTCTGCCTATATTTTGTCATGAATATAGGAATCAATGAATATATCACGGCAGAAGAATCCTGAAATCCTAGCATCATTAGGACTAATCAGCCCAAGTTCAAGTTTAATCAGTTCGTACAGTTCAAATAATCCAGTTCAACCGGTTCAAGACCTTCAGCAGCAACGACCACGACAATGGGTGCAAATGGCAAATTTTTTTTCCCACCGTTATTCATTTTTCCCTCATCTTAGAAATCAGATGGATGCAATTTATTTAGAAAACAGTTTAAGAGCTTGAACTCACTGGGAATACCGCTGACTAGTTTCAACGGTCGTAACACCCTCACAGCTCGTAAAGTTCGCAGGTCGACCGTTTCCACTTGAGCAGTGCCACCGCCACCAGCGGCTGGCGATACCGGAAGCATCGTGACTACGCTGAAATCATTTCAATTTAGCAGAAAAAGCACACAATTTCTCAAAGTCAGGACTATCAGCTGGACGCACTGCGGACAGGAGGATCCGTTTCAGTAAATGCTCCAATGTTTTTTCAGATGAAGGTTTGACGAATCGATTGAATTTTCATCTTTCGATTCTACAGTGGTTTTTGACAAAAATGCTTTTTTGCATCCAAGCCAGGACCGGTCGTTTGCATGGGGTAAAATAAGGGGCCAATATGACCCCTCTCCCTCCATTAATGGTACGTAGCGGCAGGTGGTGCCTGATTACTCATACGCCATCATACCAAAAAAGGCCGTGGAGTGGTGAGGTAAAAAGTAAATATTATAGTTTCAAAACTGCTCGAATTTCGAAAAAAAGTTTTCGACCCCTAGGGAAATTTCTTTTCATTAATCTTCCGAAACACGATCCCATTTTCATTCAGTGCGACTGCCTCGTCTGGGATCCCCAAGAAGAGCTGGTTTGAGTTCGAGGTATGTTCATCATTTTCACATCGATTTGCTTTCATTTACAGAACATGGTTTTTTTTGTATTTTATCAGCGTGGATCTGTGAATCTTTGATTTTGCGCGAATTTCTCCGTTTTATTCACTGTGTAAAAACGTAATGCTTAAATGGAATCCTTCCGCAGTGAGATGTTCAAACGAATAGTTCAAACAATTAGCGAGTTTTTAGTAGACTCAAACTTTTACCTGAGATGACACAAGCAGGTTAACTGCAAGAAAAACTGGCTATGGAGCAAGCAATCACATTCATGATAAAAGTAGTAAGCGTATTAAAACCTTTCCAGACTACTGTTGTGATCGCTGGATGGTTTTATCCAAACCTTTTTTATAGCAAGCTATTTTCATACAGTTTCACGGGATTACTCGTTTGAAATGATCGTTGAATGATCCAAGCTGATAGGTACACAATACAATAGTAATGCCATTCAAATTCCTTACCCGGAAACTACTACTATAAAATCCATGATGTTCCATCCGGATCTCAGGTACGATCCTTTGTGAGCAATAAAACCAAAAGCAATGATTTTCAGTACGCATTCTAAGCAGAAAATACCCATGAAATATGGCTCGGTACGCTCCTAAAATAAATTGATATTAGAAAAAAAGGTCTCCATAAGTATCACTGCTATGATTCATCGTCATATTGCATTACTATAATGATTTTGGTATTATTCAGTGTATTGGACTATCAGTGAAAACACAACGCCTACCGTCAGAGAAATCGCTTCTTGTCATGATGACCATTTTCCGAACAGCGCAGCTCATTTTAAAACAGAAAGGACTCAGAGTGCTACTTACCCCCCCCAGGTGAGTAAAGCTGGCTTGTGTCTTCTGTTTGCTTTAGAAGCTGTATAAAATATATATTTCCAAGTTTGTTTTGTGTGACTCCCAATGCGAAAATCGGTGAAATTACACCGATTTTACCACTAGGCCGAATCTCAGAGACTCTCCGATATAACTGAAATTTCTTCCACGAACATCGACTTGATTGGGGCTGAGCCCTCCCAATTTACGACAATCCGCGATGAATTTGGAACTAGCACCTACGACCTTTGCACACGGTTAGCTTCTGGGGATTTCTGCCAAATTCACTTGACAATCGTTCTCGAAACAAATCGAACCTCCGGTTCGTGAAATTTTTGCTTAATTTTTCTTTCAAGGCCTATCAACAAGCAGCTATAAAATTTCTGTATTGTTTCTAATTATGGGAAGTATTTCTATCACGTAATACGATAGATTTTGTAGGTGGAACAAGATCTTTCAGATCTCACCAATAACTCGGAAAGCGGCTTTTTGTCGTTTTTCGGAAGATGTTGTTCCATGGCGAGCACGACACAGTTTCCTGCAACAAGCGACATCGTCAAGCATTCAGAAAAGAATGCATTCACAACTAACCACTCCTCTACAACCCTAGTTCCGCCGCCACTTTTATCCATGCTTTCTTGAACAAAAACATACTCACTCAAGAAAATAGAAGAAAAATTAGTTCACCTATTATAGTAAGCAGGATGAAATATTCGAACGGGCCCCATTCTATGATCGCCTTCGCATTGCGTCTGATGAAGTTATCTTCGGAGAAGATGAACAATGATGACGGACCCTGCAAATTTTCTGATAACAGATATTCCCCTTCTTGAAGTCATTCTCAAGGACCTTCCACTGGACCTTCCAAACCCTATACAGTAAAAGGAGAAGGATTTTACTTAGTTCCAAAGAATCAATATTCATTATTTTTGAGCGGACCACCGTCAAGGTGCTGAAGCAAAGTGTCCTTTGTCCTCGTGGCGCTCTCGAGCTCAATTCAGGACATTGACGGGCCGAAATGTATAGCTCGCAGAGGTCCCGCCTCAGAATAGGATATTTCGCAGAGCGGGAGAATAACCCCAGAAATTCTCACGATGAAATTGAGTGAATATGTAAATTACGTTTGGAATTTAAACGATTTCAATGAAACGAAATGAAAGCAGCTGACACTGAATTTCTTATGGAATAGAAAAGCACACCAATAATTTCAAAGACTCGTTCGTACATGGAATAGTTGATTAACACACGGCCTTGCGGCTTGCTCAATAAGCCTGATCTAAGCATTGTAAACTCACTAAGCCGATGAAAAGGTAACAATCATTCAACAGATAATGAGTGCAAAACAACAAGAGAGAATTAAAAATTGAGTTGAAACGATGAAATTTGGATAAGGTCGTTCAGCGAGCCTCGAAATCATTCAGAATGCAGATGAATTTTTTTGTATCCGAAAACCAAAGTGAAATATCAGGCGCACAGTACAGGGATAGAGATTGAAAAACCATGAAGAAAAAGAAAGAAATATTTCCGAATAGGAATAAAAACAGACTAAATATACTGAGAAAAACGAAGCAATAAAACGAAAAGAAAAAACATTGGAGAAAGCAAACCTTCTCTTTAACTGGGGCGTTAGAGGCAAGAGTGGACTTCCGAACGGCAAACGGTCCTGACTCGGTCTTCTGCTCTCTTCGTGCCTCTTCCGCTGCCAATCTGAATTTGCACAGTCTTATACGGTCCGATGAAGACTCATCTCACCCTCTCAACCACTCACATTCAGCCCTGACTCACTCCTCTTTCAAAGTTATTTAGTAAAAAGAAAAAAAACAGCAATTTTGAAAAAGGGAAGACCTTGCGATCTGGTCGATGCCTAACATGATTTCTGCGTGTGCAGATGGTTTTCGATCGCGTAACTAGGGATCCTGTGCGATACGAAGATGATCGCCCATCTGATGAAACAATGGCAAAGGATCGGAATAAAAAGTGAAGCAGATCGCCTCGCTAGTGAGGCATGGAGTACTTCTATGCTGAGGACACCGATCGATAGTGAGGCAGCGCGGCCACAGCGCCCAGGCCCCCAGAAATGGAAATGGATATACATGCACGCCCCAGGAGTAGCAGCATTTCAAAAACGAGGGACGTGAGGAGAAGACAGACGAGCGGATATCTGCAAAGCTCAACTGGAATTATGCCCGTCCATACACGGCCACCAACTTGCTCAACAATCAGAAGCACATTGTCCCGCTACAGTATGACCTCACCTCACTCATATGCCAGCCATCGAACAGATCATGTACGGTATGTGTATGGTAGCAAGACTCTTTTGTAAATAATGCTTGAAATCTCAACGCAGCTAAAACCTAAGGCTGAATTTGATTCAAAATTTCGTTTCTATTGTCTGGAAAGTTCCCTCTGCTTTCACGGGAAGTGCGCTGAAAGATGTGGAGGATCCAAAGGGATGAAAAGGTGGCAAAAAAAGATAAACAAAGTACTACAGCAAAAATATATTACTGATGAGTACATATGAGAAAATAGTGAGTGTAAAAGAAATAAATAAATATAAATAAATAAATAAAGAATGATAGATGAAGCCTTATGAATGAGAAATTTCTTTAATTGTGCTCGGCTTGATTTCGAAAGGTTTATTAAAAATATCTTTTTGACTAGCTCATGAGTAGGGTTCTCCAAAACTGAATATATACAATAACCAATACACGAAAATTCATTCGAATATCAAATGAGCAATTCGAAAGCACATTTAGAGCGTTTTAAAAAGTTCCGTTGCAAAAAATACGCTTTCAAAGGGCTTCATAAAGAGCAGAAGTCATTTTTAGTAAGAGAGAAATCTCACATTGAAAGCCTAAAAATATCGACTGAGCTGATGAAAGAAAAGAATGTCAAGAAGCAAACCAAAGAATGGCGATTTTGAAAGAATTTGAAGAGATGTGATTGGGCTATGGGTCAAACTACATGAAGAAAAAAATTTACTCTAGCTCTTCGTATTAGTTACAAATTGTTGGTTACTGCTATTTAGCACTTTTAAACAAGTAAATGAAATTTTCTAAGGGTTAAGACCATTGAAAGCATGAAGCTTTTTCAAACCTGATAAAAAAATTATGACAGGTTTCCAAGCGGATATTTATGGATTCTTCCGCTAACGATGCATTTTCTGAGCCACCAGTTCTCGCAAGAATAACTTTGTGACTGAGTGATTTGGTATTAAGAAATGAATACAAACCGAGGTAGCAACAAAGAATTAGTTTGCAAATCAGCATTGAAGGACGAACTGAATCTTACCCTCACAATAAACTTTTTTTTTCGATCACTACTCTTCATTGTTGTACTTCGACCATTCAGGCTGCTCCTTCATCCGTTGTGTGGGTAATACTGCTCACTGTTTTATACCAGGAACGAAGCGCTTTATAGTAGGTAGGATACTTGCTCTCTCACAACTAAAGGTAAGTGAGGGCAGAAATTTTGCCAACTAGAGGCGCAGGGAGCGCCTTGGACTATGCCTCAAATTCCCTTTGTATTGAGCCACTGACGTGAGTTTTTTTGCAGGTCGTGTTTGCGCTGGAGACGGAGAGGGAGGGGTTGTATTCAGGACAGTGGGGCAGACGAAGAACTGCTGCGTAAATTGAAGATTTGCTATTTTGACAAAATAGTATATACCCAGTTCGCTTGACACCAATTTCGGGTAGTGAAGCTAGAATGGGTCATGTGGTATCAGAACCTGAACAGTCTATCAAAAGGTGAGGAGGGGACGTAGGATGAGGAAGAATGGAGTTGGAAGAGGGCAATTCTGCCAAACTACATATCTGTTCCCGACTCGTGGTTCGGCCTGCTTTGCAGGTATTGCAGTTACCAGCGTGTCAAAATTACAGTATCTTGGAAAGGCAATCAGGGGTGCGCCTCTAGCAAAAACGCTTTAATCAACATTGAAGATTTGTAGTGTCGACATTTAATGCATACACTCTTCACTCGCTCCCATCTCCGACAGATTCATGTTTCCCATGGAACGGCCACTTGTCAAAATGCTGCTCCATCCCGCACCAGCTCATTGCAACAGCAGAAACAAAATGTGCTTCAGTCTTCCTTGCCAATACATCTACCAGAGCAGCGCTACATTAACATTAATTGGGTTTCTAATCGAGCAGTGGTAAAAATCCAGTTCGGGGGTTCGGCGCACTCTTCACTATCCTTTTTTAGTCTTGAAGAGCACTGCTTTGAGCTGATTAACGCCAAAGATAAGACAAGATATGTAACGACTCATTCGAAGTTCACTTTTGATAAGGACAGGGGGTTGGCTTTTATTGCAAACAACTTGCCCCCTATCCAATTTTCTGCACCAGGTCAATCACCCTGGAGCTCTTCAGGTTTCTTCGGCCGAGGCGAAGATCTCCCTTCCCCTGGTTCAGGACTGCTCCCTTGGACTACTGCAGGCCAAATTGTGAAAGCACCTCTTGTATTACTTCCACATTACGCCGATACTATCAGAATTATACATTAAAGCGTTTGTTTGGGTAAAAATTCTCTCCGTAGCTGGCGACGGAACGCTTCCACGTGGTTATCAATCTGCCAGCGCTAGGAACTCTTTTTGACCTTTTGACTTATTCCGCATTGACTCGAACCTCTGCATTCTCTTCTATCGAACGTTTTTTCTCCAGTCTTCAAGTTTGTACCCTTTACTAGAATCTTGCAATGCGTCGGCTAATACAAGCGCCCGCTGGATCCCCCACCGAGCGACTAAAGGCCCTGCATTCAAAATTTTGTAATTCCGGCCAGAGTCCACCGTGCGTTGCGCAGTTCTCAACGGCCACGTTGCGCAGTTTCGCCTGATTAGACACGCTCTCCCGCGCGAACATTTACACTCGCATGCTCGAGTCGTCTGTGCTCTCCGCTCATACAGCGTGCGTTTAGGATCTCTCAACGTGACGTTGAGAACTGCGCAACGCACGGTTGACTCTGATTCCGGCGTGAATGCTGATACCAATGATCCTTGTTGAAAAGTGAACGATGTTTACAGACAGGATAAGGTTCAACTTTCATCTGACAGATTTGAAATTTTCTGAATTCTAATAAGTTATTTACACTGGGGAGGAAAAGAAGTGAAGAACGTGACGGCAATTTGAAAAAAAGAATTAGAACTAGAGTAGTAGTAGTTCGTGCCCGATCGCAAAGTATTCGAAAATGCATATATGCATGTGCACCAGTTAAACCATGTAGTTATCAGTTGGCCCCTATTTCAACAATTTTGGCAGGCTGCCAAACACTGTCGGCTCTTCGGAACATGTTTTTTAATCATTAGGAAGATATTGATTCGTAGCTACGGTTCGCATGGCGCACTTCCCTGTTCATTTTGCGACTAGTCAAACAATCCCTCAGGCTAAGGCCTTGAGGGCGCAGTAGGTAAGGCTACCGCATCTGCAAGGCCAATTTCGCAATTCAAAATGCTGGAAAGTTGTGTTAGGTGCTCAAAAATTAGCTCAGCCGGAGACCCAAAGAACCGTACGCACTCATCCCTGCAAATGCGCTAGAGTCTAGGTCTCTGTCGTTCCACATGGTCTCTTGACTCCAAGTTTACTTTTCACCTCTGCATTCAGTGCTTCCTTGACAGCCTATCTCTTTATGTCTCGCATGTCCTCCCCCGAAGAAGGCGCTACTTTTAGTAATTTCGATGGTACCTTTTCCCTTTGCTTGTGGCAATTTCTAACCACTATCTTCGGTTTCGAAAGCAGTAACTGCAGCCGGGCGATCACGGACTGTGCCCTCAAGTGATAATATCGCCTTATTAACAAAAGGTAGTGATACAATTTGGACCTCCGGCTCACTTTCTGGCTTCTATGTACGAGCTTTGAATCATATTCCGCTGGTGAACGTCAAGGTGTTACAGAACCTTTGCTTAACTAAGAAATGGTCGGATCCGGCTATACTGATCTGTTTCATTTGTCCATTGTAAATCAAGTATTAATTTGTACAGAGTACCATTCACGCAAAACGAGGTGCCTCCAGATCAGAAGTCAGGAGTAAGAAGGCTTCTTGAATATTTTCGGATTAAGTTGAGATTCATAACAAGATATATCAAAGTCTATACTATACTTTTCAGGTGCAACTCAAACCAAACCATTGAAGGAATGGGTCACGATTAGGTCCAGGAAAGATCTCCCCTTGAGCAAGGTAGTAGGACCCCTTTCACAAGGGAGGTGATACTGTCGCGACTTAAAAGTGGCAATAAAAGGCGACCAGGGAACAAACACCTCCACTTGACTGCCATTTTTATAAATAGCGGCAACGTGGCGCTTGCGCCCTCTCGCGCACGACGTGTTCTCTAGCATTTTCCCCCTCCTTGCAGAGGTGGGTCTCTCTGTTATGCATTTTCTCCCTATTAGTATTCCTCATGGCACTTCCTGTCTAACTTTCAAACAAAGGAACACAACAATTCGACCACAACCTGTGCCTTTGAAATGAACACGGTGCAATTTCGGTCAGAGCGACCCTTTGAGAAGAACGTTTGGTAACTTGTCTGCTTAGTTCTAGCCCTTAGATTTGCTATTATGAGCTCATGATAGGCTATTTGAATTGCTTGTGACGTCGAATCAAGCGCGGCTTTTTCCTTTGGCCCATTTGCGTGAAACGGTAGGATACGACGTCGTCTAGGGGATCCAATTGTTATGCTGCCTCGGAAATATGCTAACGAAATATGGCTTACTATGCCGTCACCACGACGAAACGATCTCCATCATTCTCAGTTCTTGGCAATTAGGAGGCACATCTCTGGCCACCATCCACTAAACCAACATGTGATGTGCCACCTTGTCAGGCGTGCTTCAAGATGCTAGGTCAAGTATTGATTGCGGCAGATCATAATTTGTGAAAGACATTCATTATTGTTCAACATGGCTAATGAATGAGCTACTCCAAGAATTAATTACCGAATAAAAGAAGAGACTCTCAGTCGTTCGAACTTCCTCCTATCAAATCCAGCTTTTTTAGGGCTAGGGACCAACTGCCACATCCATAATCCATGTGCTTGAGAAATGTTCCGCTTGCAGGAAGACACCCTCATATATTTTCACAAATCGAAGCCTAGCAGCGAGCAATTTCCACACCACGACGTCGTTCGTAGCTGAATGCGATTATTCTGTGCAGGAGGGGTGCTCAGATTGACGCTCACCCGGTGTCTCACGTAGAACAGGTGCAGGTCTTTTTTCCATTTAGTCAGGACTTCAATCAGGGGATCTTTTCATCTACTCAACAGTGTTTCCCCCAGCAATTGACAAGAGGCCACTTTTACTGCTTGCGCTACGCCCGTAACCCTTCCACCTGTGCTCCACTTGGACAGTACCATGTACTGGTGTCTCACATTATCTGTATCACCTGTCGTTCCGTTGACCATCCATTTGCTTTAGCGGGCGCCAGCAACGTCTCCATTCGGCCCTGTCGCGTTAGGGGTGGTCCAGCAGATCCTCCCCGCTCGAGGGACACCCAGTTCTTGATCGGAGTTCTCCTGCAGAAATCTGACCATCGAGCCGGCGGTCGTCCAGGTGTTCCTTTACGTCCTGAGGGATCCAGTCGGTTACCGCTCTGGTGCAGCGGCCACCTCAAAGTCAAATAACGTGTCCAGCCCACTTTATCTTCGATTCCTTGGCGAAAACAGCAGTCTGTCGAGAGGAGTATGCTTGGAGTAGCCCTTTACACACACAAGTGCAATAGGGGAATCCGGAGTTCCAAGCTACGCCAACGATCATCACAAAACTTGACAGCTTAGGGAGTGGGAGGGGGAGGGTAGTCCCGACGCGGTCTCCCATACGACCATTGGCCGTGAGAGGTTCCCAGTATGACAATTCCTCCTCTGCTATTTCCTGCAAAAGTCTATGGAGCGGGGCAGGAGAAGATAAGTGAAGTTTGTGGAATTTTCGCTAAAAGCCGTCAAAAACACCTTCTCTAACCCCAAATTTGACCTCCGCTAAAAAACCCGCTTACAACCCATCGTTGAGAACTGCGCAACGAAGGTTGACCCTGCACCCACCAGGCTAATGCGGACGGACAGACAGACCGGCAAACTGGCACACAAATTTAGCGATTTACAAAAGAGAGTGATGCGAAGCTGTGCTGTTATGAAAGCGCTCGAATTCTATCCTGTAATGTTACTCCAGCAGGCCCTCGGCAATTCCATCTATGTATGTAGTCGCCTAAATGTCGCAGAACATCATTCAAGTATCATGGGTTAGAGACAGAAAAAGTTACCTACATCAGCAGCGCACTGTCGTAGATCTCCGGAGGTAAAGTAATGGGGCACTGTGTGAACAGTTTGGTCAAAGCCAGGGTGATATACCTGATACCATCATCATTCATCGACTCTGCCGTGCTGAGCGGTTGTGCCTGCCTTTCTCTGCCATTCATTTCTATATTTATACCGAGCTGACGTATACTTTTGTATATTTCGACAACTTGGTATTCATATAGTGGCATAGATCGAGAAGCTCGACTATCACAGCTGGCCTGCAGAATATATTGTTGTATTTGAGAGATAAGTTCGAGTTTTCGTTTTCACAGGTTGTGGACATATTGGCGATCACAATGCCGCGGAATCGAGCACGGGTATGTCAAACTACCACTGACAGGAATTCCAATGACAGTAACAGCTGCTCAATGGAAGATTGTCCAGCAGATTCCGATATCGCCAATATGTCCTTGAGCCAAATAATTAGCGCTATGATGGAGCGCAATGATGTGATCAAAGACCCTATTATGGGCAAGTACATCAATGCTCTTGTGACCAAACTGCCCCAATCGATTGCCGGAACGGTGGAGGCGGACAAGCGGGGGCGTAGCTTGGTAATTGCTGGTATACCGGTGTCCGCACCCGATGTCCCCCCTTCAGTCAGGCAACGAGAAGTTGAGGCAAAGGTTACTGAAGTATTAGATGTTCTCGGAGTCGAGTGCAGACCCGTGGAGGTGTATCGCCTCGGGAAACCGGACGATTCGCGTCCACGGCTGGTCAAGCTGGTATTGCCATCTAAAAGCCACTGGGCCAGAGCACTAGCCAACAGCTTTCGCTTGCGTAGCTCTGGGTTATCTAAGGTATACATACGCAGAAGTATGACCCAAGAAGAGCGCGAAAGAGAGCTTCGGTTGCGGGAGGAGTGCAATTCGCGCAATGAGCGGCTAAAAAGTCGTGTATGGGTGGTGTACCGTGGTGAGCTACGGCGTGCCGATGAGCTTCCCAAAGCAAAAAAATCGCAAATACCGCAAACATCACAAACATCGGAAAAGGTCTAGCTCGGCACGGTACTCCCCCAGGAATTAGGTGTTATCTGTTAAAATTCTCGAAGTCTTGCTAACAAATTACACCACTTACACTTGCTTCTTGACACTCACAATCCTGACTTGGTTTTTATAACTGAGACGTTGGCTGTCCTCAAAAGTTTCTGATGCGGAATTCTTGCGCAGCGTTCTCAAGCTCTCATTAATCTTATAATGTTCTATCGAAGATTTGACCAGATGAACTCTTCGCCGAGGTGTGGTGAGTTTGAAATAATTGGGCTTGTTCTCAGGCTCACGATCGATCAAAATCACTTTATAGCTAGGCCGACGCTTCGTATGCCATCTCCTCGACCTTCAGAAGTCGCGAGCTTCTTCTGTCCTCTGAGAGGCGTTACGATACACGTCTTCCGCCTTGTCTGTGGAACTTCGAAGTATATCCTTAATATATCGTGTTCCGCCTCCCACTCACAAAATCACGAATCTGATAGATAGAATGATAGACTTCATTGAACTCTTACTAGAGCTCCTTCAAGTGCTCAAATGCGCAGCGTTTTGATTGTGCCTTTGGCGCTTCTTAACCTTCGAATTTCTATCAGACTGGCTTTCGGAAAAGGCAAAAACATTCAATATCAACCAAATTTCTGCAATTTCTTAAATTGGGAACTCTTTCAAGTATTCAGTGCGGCCCACACTGGGATTCGATCTTGCTAAATGTCTTAGCGGATGCTCCATTAATCGAGAATGTACAATTATGTCCGCCTATCGCTGGTCTGACCACTCTCGTAGTTGCCTTCAAAATTTCAAATTTCGGTCAATTCACTACAGATACCTTCGCCATTGCCATACTTTCGTAGAAGTCGGACTATTGATTTTGCTTCGCCAATATCATGTTACCAACAAATTTGGGGACGTGTTTGAAGGTTTTCGCTCCGTTGACGACCTCTACAAGCGATTTTGTCCGAATTCGTATTACGTCAGCGGATTTGCAAAATACTGGCTCTTTCTCCACAGTAGAAGGTCGCTCGCTGAAGGACACTTTACCCGAATACATAATAAGCAATTCTGTTATTCCCAAAATCTCGTCTCTACAATGCAGTACAGACAACTCTCCTTTTTATAGTTTCCCAGACAGAGATCTGTAGAGAGCTTAGATATCATTTGCGGAGATTTTTGATGCTAACCAGGAAAAGGCTATACGCTCTCAAAACACAACAAATACTATTCGTCTTTATCGCTGCAACTGGAAGCCAAAAGCATAGGTCATTGTCTGTTACTCACTGATGACTTTGGGGCTACAGCTTCGTTTGTTACCTGTGTCAAAGTATGACAAATACAGCTAGATACGCACTTGCGAAATTTTGTTCGTGCTGTCATCAGTGGTGAATACTAGAGAACAGTGGTATGGCAGGTGTTGAAGGATGAGTATAATATTCATCCCGAGCTCCTTTTATCACCTATCAGTGTAACTCCCGAGGACGTCTATTAAAGTTTGAATCTTCTCAAAATTTCGAATGTCAAACGTTGATGGTATTCCTCCAAATTGTATATAGAAAATGCGGCAGCTCATGTTGTGTGTTGCTTAATTGTTAAAACGCCAGTGTATGCGCATGCAATTCTCTGTGAACAGCATCTTTAAGTTGGTTGATGTTCCTTCAGCTTGGAAGGAGTCCATCGGTCACTGCTATTCCAAGGTCACTAATAGCGCGAGTTTAACTCCGATTGTGTTTTCCTGGCCCATAAGCATAACGTCTTTAACTGTCAAAACTACAATGGAGAAGTCTTCCACTACCGTAGGACCACGAACTTCTGTCCTCATGCAACTCGAGTTAAAAATATATTAATTAGCCTAGTCGGAACAATCACGGCGCTTTCATCTGTGGAGTTGCATCTACTTTGGCACTTACTCCACAAGATGGCAGCATGTGTCTTCGCGACTTGGAGCATGGCGAATAAATAGGGAGAAAGTCGGAGTAACATAATATAATTTTGATCTTGTCAAATAGCGTGTGTGATAAAGTCAATCATGGGTGAACTTCTTTTGAAATTGCGAAATCTTGCGATGTCAGTGGGCCTATCTTAACTGATAAGCCGCTACTTGATGGAAGACACATGTGTGTTTAGATTGGCGAACGCTTTTTCGAAGCGTACTTGATGCTCAAGGTGGTTGCTACTCGCTCCAAGGGGGAGTTTTATCACCCCTTCTTATATATCTCCCTGTCCTACACTGGTATGACTTGCGCTCTCTAACTGCTTAGCATGGATTAGTTTTCAGTCCAGCGGGAAGGTAATTACTTGATTACTGGCTGACGACATAACAGGTGTACGCATTACAACGAAAGGGAACCCATATGAGTGTTACACCAGCCCTACCCAGGCCATCTGCAAGATTATGGAGTGGGCCTGCGGCTTGGGACATACCTGTAGATCTTCAGTAAAACTACGGGTACTTCATCTTAGGAAACGGCAAGAAAGAGTTCCATACATCTTTAATGATGTAGTTCTTCAGAATCTGAGAAGTCAGTGATTTGGGGTTTTCTGTGTCGAAATTCTGATGCCTAGATTTTTGAAACACCATATCAAGCACTATGTTCAGAAGGCTTTCGCACCTTCTTTTTTGCGGATATCAGAAATGTTCGTATACAACGATATTTTACAGCATTTTTGAAGCTCGTATACACCAAAGGCCATATGTTGATAGTGCCTTACGTTAGAATATGGCTATCACAAATTGGAAATCCCGATACTAGGAAAATTACAAATCAAGGACTTCGAGAAGGGTTTCAACCAAGCCTTCACCGAAGTTGTTATAATACAAGATTGATATAACCGAGCCTCTCGAACATGCATGCGGCATTACTATGAGGTAATACGTTTACAGTTCGTCCCTCAAGCTCTGTAAGTCCCTGGCTCTACCGGTCTGAGCGCGCGCTGTTAATGACTTAGTTTTCTGCTCAAATATGACTTAAAGGAGAGTTGAGCCAAACCGAGTAATTATTTGTGGTGCTTTCAAGGACCTTGTCGTTTGCGCGCGACTCACTCTCGCTCATTGTTCTACAATGTCCTATAAGCCTGTCCTATTGAACAAACAGGACCGTCAAAGTTTCCCATTCGCTCTGTCGTTCGTTGGAGCGATTAGTTCGCATTACACGGGCGCTTACCAATCAGATGGTGGCAGTCGCCTCTCACGCTGTAAGCGATATTCAAAAAAGCCTTACGACCTGTAGCACAAACAATTCGATCTGATACAAGATTCTCTGTGAATTCTCTAGACTGTCCTTGTGACACTCGCCCATGACACACATGTTTGAAGAAAAAAATGTTGAAAATTGCAATGGCATACTACGTCTTCGCAGATAAAGAGCTTTCGTCGGATCGCGTCAAGTAGAAATAGTCCCCTGCTAATCTCGACGCCCGTTTGATCACTTCTGTTTATCTCTATTTTCTTCTCTATTGTGTTCTTTTGTTGTGTTACTGGTGTGACAAAATTTTCCAACGCTCCTCTTGCTATGTCGCTTTCGAAATGTGTTGCTTTTCATACAAGTTGGGTGAATAGATCCCCGCAAGTTTTCTGGCTTGTGACTGTCACTATGAAGCCAATATCACGTAAAACCACATAAATGCCTCCAGAGTTTCTTTTTTTCGATGTTTGATGTCCTCTTAGGGGGTTCAGAAGTCTGAAGTTGTTAGGGGTAGGGAATACCTAAATAAATCCGAAAATCGGCTTCTGATTTTCTCACACTCTTCTTTTCCAGGGTGCCGTTTCCCTAGCGCATCCGCCATGGACTTTTGACTGTAGTTGACTGTAATTGGCTTAGCTCTAACTCAAGGCTGAGCTCGAATAAGGCTTTTTGATATCCTGTGGTCTAGTAGACAATATTCACTGTCTTCACTTCAGTGTGGAGCGACTTTTCCCTGCTTTTGAAATGGTCTGTTTTAACAGTGTTTTTGTGAGACTGATTGTTGTATGTTAGGTAATAGTGCTGCCTCCCATCTAAAAAGTGCATGCAATTTAAATTATATTTAAAATAAGACCTCTAAATATAAATGAATAGTACAGGAACAAATCGATTCATAGTTTACTATTCAAATGAAATTATATTGAATAACGCTAAAAATAATAAAAAAAACAATTGTCAAGCAGCTCACACTTTAAAAAGAAACTCTAAAAACGTTTTCGGAACAGTCGAAGGATAAATCCAAAAAAAGAAACCTTCTCGCAAAATCAAAAGATTGCCGTTGCACGTCTTTCGCGCTATTCAGAACTTCGAATTGTTGAAAAATTTCCTAGAAGATCAGTTTTCATCGAACGAAGTCGCCTGCCTAATAGTGAAAGGCCATTCGAAACTTCCTAGCGGATACTATGATGTGAACAGTTTCCCTTTTTAGAGCCTAATATTAGAAAATTAACTTCATTTTTATGAACTTGTATCAGATTAGATTGGAAGCTCGGTTATATTCTTTACAACCACAGAGTGCTGTAGTAGTAATAAAAACGTTGAAGCGTTGCGAATTAAGAGAACGAAACAATTAGTTCCTCGATTTATCCATCTTTTTTATTTTTGAATATTTTTGACGAATTCGATAGACACCTTACTTACAGTTGTTTTTCGATGGAGCTCAGTAAATAGCAAAAGGATTGGCGCAGAATTCTGAGTGGAAATTAGAGTTTAATACCAAAAAAAGAGAATATTATTCATGTGGCATGCGACAGCTGAACAGTAGAGTGTTTAACTGTTATTAATCAACGTGTAAAGCTTGGATAGGGAGAATGACTTTTGGACGACCAACAAAGACCACAATGTCTTCCAGTACATCGCCGATTAGTCATCAACGAAGTGAATTGAACCTTTGAACAAAGAAGGACTGTATATGAATTTACGGACGACTGATGGTGAATCTGAATGCAATTCCATGTTCAGAAGACGACAACTAACTTCAACTACTGAGCAGGGTGAATATCGGTCGAGGAACTCCTTGACTATGGCTCTGCAATGTGCGGGAATAGTGCCGAGGAGAGCACAGACAGCTCGTGCATGGCGAGTGTGAATGTCCGCGTGGGAGCAGGGTCAACCGTCACGTTCGAACATTTTCGGGATATTTGCAACCCCCTAGCTCTCGAGGAGGTCCAGTTGCGACCCCCTGTTTTTGTTAATAAGAGTGCTAGACATGAATCCGTTGCGCCAGAAAGCGTCTGCGCTGCCGCAGCAGGAAGCGCCTGCGTTGCGGCGTCAGCCTTGGAGCGCGGCAGGTATCAGCCGGGCGCTGGAAGGACGGGACGCGGCGAAGAAAAATTTTTAGAGGGTAATAACTTTCTCGGGACGTACTTTTTGACTTGTTGAGGCAGATTTTAATTGTGTCTGAGGTCTGAGGTGCGCTATCAGAAAACTACAAGGATTGCCTAACTTTCCGGAAAGTACTTCTGTTAGAAGAGGAATACCCAAAATTCTAAGAAGGTGCACCTTCAACTTTGAAGGCCAATAATATCTTTCGTATGCGACCTTCTAGAAAGCTGTCAAAAGCTTCGGAAACCTCAAATGTTTCTCTATAAAAACAGTATAAAAAATTTAGTGGTTGACCCCTTTTTAAAAAATTGTCCCGTTCGAACATTTTCTGTGCAGAGGCGAGTTTTTGGGATTTCAGCGGCCATAACTCACTATACTTTCACTTCTGTGATGCAATTTTTTCATGGAGTGAAGGTACAGAATTTGCTCTTTCTGATAAGCACCAGAACGTTTTTCAAAATCCATTTTCCGAGAAAATCACACGTTCGAACTTTTTGTTCCCATAGGTTTTTGAGCAGCACATGAGAGTTTTTGAGCTTTCAGCAATAATAACTTCCTTCAAAAGCTTGTTAGGAGGGACGAAGACATTTTTGAAGACTACGAGATTCACGCTTTCTCATGTATATTACAGTTCTCTAGAAGAAGCGCCCCAAAAATTTAGGTCTCTGAAGAACTTTATTTTCAGCCCCGAGAAGTCCAACCTTTCATAAGGATGCATTCAGCACTTCTTTACTGCGTAGGAAAACACCGTAATTTGTCTAAAACTGCCTCTCTGTGCATAATAAGTCAAATCTAATGCGGTCTGCACAAGCAAGTCTTGCCCTCGGATACGCCACGTACGCGCCTCTGGCTGACAGTCCTCGAAATTGCGATCCCCTTCCGACCAAAATGTGACCCCTTCGTTCGAACAATCCGAACGGACGGTTGACCCTGCGCGGGAGAACATAATTGATCTGGCGAAAATCCTGGACGTGCCGTTGAGGAATGCTCGACCGATATTCACCGTGCTACTAAGGAGTTTGTGTTTTAGCCAAATAAATGCATGAGATTTCCATAAATCAAATTTAACGGCCGAAATCTATTTCTTGCAAGCTCCTATCAGCTGGAAGTAACGATAAGTGATCAAAAAAATCATTACGTGAAAGAGAACATAAAAGAATTTCGAAAATTGCTGGCACCTCTACTTCACTCACTCGTTGATGTAAGGTGTAAATAAGATTGAAAATGACTAGAATTGAACCAATACGGCTGACCTGTCGCGTCTGTTCCAACTATAGCTGTAGTAAATCAGTTTAAATGCATTAGGCGTGTGATACGCCCGCATCGCCTTTGATACCATAGTCGTAGCGACTATTGTAAGTATGGGAGACTAACTATGAATACGAAAACGTTGTTGGACGGCGACGACGATAACTCCTTGCCGAATATCGCGCCGTGAAGATGTGCCAACAGCAATCATCAAATTGTATAATTGGCCGTAATGTGGGTGACAAAGCGATGCACGTCGCCATCAGACAAGTGTGCATTGGCAAAGTCTTCGCGAAATCCAGAAACAAAAACTAGTCTGATACTTGAAAGGCTTAAGATGTATGAGGTCAACTGATTGAAAACAATGGGTCATGAGAAACAATAGCGTAGGCGTAAGAAATATGTAGGAACCAGTATTGTCACTTAAACAGAACTCGATTAACATTGAGTCCTTGTTCGCGTTTTCACTGGAATTTTAAGATCACAGATTTCAATCCCTATGGTCACTTTCTCCTTCTGACAGCAATGAGTGCTCAATAATCAAAGTTTGAAGAAAGGAGGGTCAAGCGGTCAACTTTTCTTTAGGGACTTACACATGCTTAACTTGCACATTGATTATGTGAATGATATTGAAATATCAGGAATTGAGGACAACCGGTACAAATCGGTGTTATTCTTGAAGGACCATTTGCTCTACACAACGAGTTTACGCCTACCCTGAGACAACCACAACCACATTTGTCTTGTGTGTAGGGTTAGTATTGTCAAAACTAACGCTTATGTTCCGTTCTTTTTGCTATGCTCATGAGGATAAGTGGCCTAAGGGGTATCGTTTTTCTGAGGTAATGGGGGTGGAGCTTTTTCCGCGAAAGATTCCTTTAAGCAGAAGCCTGAGCTTAGGCGCAGAAAGTGACCCCTGGGCAAAGCTGAGCTAATAGAAGGTTTGAAGTCACACTCTTGGTAGCCCAAGTGCATAAGCAAAAGCGGAGACATAGCATATAATTGTGTGGTTTTATTCTGAAAGTATTATCACAAGTTTGCAGTTTCCAGATGTCCTTTTCGGGGGGGGGGGGGGAGGGGCGGAAGCCTATGCTAGAGAGCTTCAGTAGGTAGCGAGCGATCGGTGGTTCAACTGTTTTTACCAACTAGAAGTACGACTCGTTTGCTTTGAAAAAAATCTAGACCGCGCTATAGCAGGGAGTCAGCTGCCGTTCCGAAGCAGATTACCTGTGAATCAGAAATACATCCACATTCTGAATACCCACATATACCTTCAGGACGAGCTTTGCCTTTAATCGGCGAATCCAATAATCCATAAGTGCTGTGAACAAACTGTGCAATCTCATATGAATTCCCACAAGGTCTTCTCATAAATCACGTTTTTCTTTTCCGCACTCCCATTTCGGTTCCTTTACCTAGGTAGAGCCGGCCAAACAGCCATTTGTACCGCCTCTTTTATCATTTCTCCTGGTCGTGGTGGTCGCTCTTCGAACAGCAGCTGATCGCCAATTGATATTTTCCTCGGGTGGATAGGAGACGACAATAATTCTGAATTATCTCAACGAACAGTATATCTATTAACAAAAAATAGTTTGTCAATTTTACCAGTGCATTACATACCCTGAGCTGCAATCGGTATCATCCATGGCTGAAGGTGGTCGAACACCGGCCGACACCTGTTCACCTCGCCACCCTCGTGCATGAGGTATCACTTAAATTTGAGGCAATTTCAAGTTACTGGATAGTACGGATAAAGTGAGGAAGACGAAGAGAAAGAAAAACGCTTTTCGTGAGTAGTTGACAGACGTGTATCGTAGATGAAGTGATTCAACAAAAAGTACTGATAAATTCTAGACGAAGTAGTACTTAAATGAGCTCCAGGACTTCTAATACTCTCAACATGAGAGTCGCGTCTATCTAACTAAAGACCGCCAACACTTCAAATGTAAATGGGCACCCGGTTCAGTGGCACAGTCATGATTTGTGCTATGTCAGATAGATATGACAGTTACTAAAGAGTGTTGTCTTTTCCATCTCACTAGACTGCAGCGAGAACAATTACTCACCTACACCACCTATCGCTCTAGCCGGCGTTTCTCGAACGGGAATCAGTAATGCTTCAGTTCGTCCCCTCGTGACTACGTCGGACAAAAAGTGACCCCTTGTGTCGTACATAGTTCTCACAAAAAAGTTGTAATTCCGAGCGGGGTTCATCCTGGTGCATTGGACAACGCTGCAGTATGTCTGCTCATTCCGCCTGCGCAGAGCACAGCAGCCATTCATTAAGGCGAGCATGCTAGTGAAAATGAAGAAGTGAGCATGATGCGGGAAGTTTTCTAAATTTTTCACAACTTCAACGATATTCCCAGCTGTTTGCAATGTCGCTCCATTGTTGTTGTTTTATTCGAAGAGTAGGTAGGCGATCATATTGACGGCCTGACCTTGACGCAAGTAATGGAAGCATTTGGACAACTGAACATGAATGGGTCATCACAGCTTCTTTCCTTCCTTCCTTACTTCCTCTAATTCGGCTTTTGACGTGCTCTTTCGCGCAATCAATATAAGAAGCATTCACTCTGCTTGCTCGATGTTCCATGAAAATTACAATAAGAGAGAGGTGATGCATTTTCAGGCCATCGTCAATGTTTCCTATTCTACTTGTCGAATGCTGTTCTCGAGAGCAGCAGTGAAAGCTTTAAGTGAGGCTAAGTTCTTTGCCGAATCGTTTTCCTGACGCCTACCCCTGTTTTGTGAAATCGCGAAAACGTCGCCGGCTTCAAGGCCAAGATTAACCCGCAAGACGGTCTCCAGATTCAGACACACAGAACGAATGAGATGGCACTTACAGGGTGGAAGACTGCTCGAATTTGTAAAGACATGAAAATTAAAGTGACTACCGAAAGAGCACACTCAAGCCAAAGTATAATATTTAATAGAACAGAGAAGGGTACGATAGGAGTCCAGCATTTTCATTGCGATCCCTGAACACAAATTTATCGTAAATAGAGAGTGATCAATTCTTACAAAACTAGAATATGCATATCATTCCCTGAAAGTTATTAGTAACTAATCGGAGGAAGAATCGGTATTTCAAAATGAGGCACAGTCTGCAGATTTCTGCCTTACACTCGATCTGCTTCATTTCATTTCATACTTGGCTGCGGCGCGATGCGCGAAGAAGCGCCATTTTTTTGTATGGAACCCGCTGAACTGTGAACTTGCTGTCCTCTTGTGGGTTCATATGGAATTGCAGGAAACTAAAAAGCTTTTATGGAAAAAGGCGAATTCACACCTCCAAATCCATTCACTTAATGAAGTATTGGTTGTCCAGAAAATCCTGCGACACTTTGCCCATGATGTGTGAATGCACCTAATCCTGTTGAATGAAATATTTAATCAGCAAGATTATCACCATTACCATATAGGAGACCTACACTTTTCCCGGGCAGTTTCTCAGCTCTCATGCTTTAGGTCTTCGGCGTTTGTTTTGGAAAGAAACGATCTATTCCATGTTCGAGTTGACCTCAGTCACCAGATTTTCTATAGTCTGGATGACGCTTCAGTGCACTAATTACTCCATAACTAGAAGCGGCGAAACCCGAAGAGTAAGCCGAGCACTGCAAAATTTCCCACTCAATATCCGTGATCTTTTGATTGTAATCCTTTGTCACTTGTAGATATGCGTGAGGGTAGGGTAACCCAATGCTGTGCATTTCTGGGTGAATTTATGTATGGTTTCGGACAAATTTCAGATGCAGTTAGAGCCGGCAAGGTCATCACCGCGGTGCAGGTATCCAGCAGCTCTCTGAAAAAACTCAAAATGAAACCTCATCAAAACACTGGAAAACCCTCCTCTTCGATGATTCCTGCAGACAGCTTCATTCTCAGTCGAATCCAATGGAGCTTTTGTGCGCAGTCTCCTCAAGGCTTGAGCTATCTTCCCTAATCTTCATTTTTGTCAAGAGATTCCTTTAGTGCGAAGAAAGAAGAGTCTTTACCATTGTCACACACGTCACCTCCCCAGACTGGCGTAACCCATGTGGTACCCATTGCGAGCATGCTGCCCTGCAATCACGAACGTAGGGATTCTCGGTAGCTGTCAGTTAATGCACCTCAGCGTTGTTGCTAACTCAAGATTGGTAGCAATCATCTGCGCCTCTGGGAAGTTGAGCAAATGTTCACCATCCACCACACAGCCTACCAGAGCAGTGCTTTACTTTGAGCCAAATATCTCCGGAAGCGTTGCCTTAGGGCCAACGGGGCACCATGGTCTGCTGACCGAGTCATTGCCTAAATACAGTACAGATGCTAGCTGCAACGCATGCATGCAGAGTGGCTTCATGGGAGGTCGAGAAATAAAGTATGTCAAAAGACTGCCCAGTTCAGAGGAAATTTTTGAGCTGTAAAACGTTGCTTGAAGCCTTCATGTACGCTTCTGCTGGAACCTTCGAAGACACACTACAGTTAACAAATGCTGAAACAATTGAAAACGATTTTGATTTTCCCCTAAAGCTATTTGTTCGAAGTGTCGCAGGATTTTCTGGGCAACCCAATACATTTTGAGGGCTTCCTATCACAACCCTAATGTTTTGCGGTCGAACCTGGCCTCCAGTAATTAGCCTAGGCAACATGGTGTTGTATTACAACATACATGAAAGTGAAAGCCTCCAGCATTGATGGTTCCTTTGTGCGACGCAGCACGCGTCCTTATTCCATTCGGAATCGTAGTTGCATTCAGAGTCGACATAAAGATTATGAAGGCCGACTGCACAGGTCAGTGTTCTTATCCTAACATACGGGACTGGCATCAACTAACTGATCCTTGGGGGAAATCATGTTCAGTGGCCGGGAATCGATCCGTAATTTAACTACCGGAAAATGCGCGTGGTGGGAGGTGCCATTTGGCACACTTCGCTTCCACCCAGGTTACTTATGAATCCATCAGCGTTTTCCCGAATAAATTTGCGTTGCTAAATTCTGCGGCATTGCTTTGCCAAATTCCCCAGTATCGCAAAGAAAATCTCAGAAGACAAGAAAATCCATACTGCAATATGAGCCTTTCAGTTCGCTATGGCCAGTCTATGTGAGAAGTATACTCCTTGACAAACCGACTTGGAATCTGCCTTCCAAATCTGCTAAACGTTTTCTGAACGGAGTTATGAAATCGAAAAGCGCAGCGGAAACAGTGCGGGCTCTTGAGCAAGGGCTCGTGGGATTGGTTCCTCTATAAGTACATCTTTGCTTTTCTGCGCAACGTTCCCAAAATTACTCTTGTGCATGTTGGACTTCATCAGTGATGCCTATAATAACCCGTAAGATGAGCTTACGATGAAGTCTAAGCACCATCAGCTGATGACTGCTAGTGCCTGTAACGCACGCTCCAAGCGCTTTCGCGCTGATCAGTAGTATATTTATGTGCAGGAGGAACAAACTACCACTGGAAGCATTTGTTTAGGCAGAGCCGAGATTTTGACTCAATTTCGAAACAATCGAGCGGCAATCTAACCGTCAAGCTATCAGCTAGTGCTGGTATGTGTGTGATCAACGCGAAAGGGATTTTAGGCTGTGGCAGTTTTGAGAAATTAAATAAACGGGTGAGGTTATATGTTGAGTCGAACTTGGGTGACATTTGCTGTTACGGGACACATGGCAGCATGGTTATTACTCACAAGACGATTACTCCTCATAAGAGGGGGGCATGGTGAACGGTGAGGAAATCTCGACGGAGGTCGATTGTTGATTGATGGGGCATTGGAGGGGGGGGGGGGCGGGTCGTAAGCGCAAGGGTTAAGGAATCTTTCCACGGACGAGTGAGACCAGTGGGGCCGGGACCGGAAGTTGTTTTGTGATACGGCAAATGGAGGTGGTAGTCGGATTCACATGGTTCCAGAACGCCTGCGATGACTGTGAACGGATCATTTCAAACTTACCTGATTCGGAAACTGGTGGACTCGTAGCTACATGCATTTGTCGCAAACAGTTCCGCGGCCGCCCATGGTCCATTGGTTCGTGGGAAGATTCTGTTGACATCGGGCACTGTGAAGGACACACTATGCTGCGGCCATTCACTGTCATCACTAATGTCATAAGTTCTGATTAGAATAAGCAACTGATATCTTAAAACTGACTGGAATGAAAGCTCAAATGGGATATCTACTCTGAATTGGTGTAGGCGCTTTAAGATAATGGAGCAGGATATCAGTAGAAGGTTCAAAACGGGAAGATTCGTAGCCCTCCTGACATATTGCACCCGAAAAGGCGCCATTTATCGGAAGAGGATGGAAATGAACCGAAGTAAATGAAGGATTGGTCGAACCAGACTGCAACTATAAGGGTCACTCTACTCATTTGAGATTAGAAACCATTTGGTCTGCACAAGCAAATTGTTTTGTGAAGGGGACACCTTTCAAATGATTTTGAGTGGGGTATCTGCACGGCGCATACCAAAACGTAACAGATGGCGCCCAGTATATCATTTCTTATTCACTCCATCGAGGTGATATGATAGAAGCATTTTGAGCATTCTCGAAGAATTTCGTTGTTACGGTGTGGGAGAAGTAGAATTTTCTAGTAGCTTCGAAAATTTCCTTGATATTTCCTCGACGCAGATCCCTCTTGATACAGGAAATATGCTGAGCAACCGCAGTACCCATTCTGAAAGCGCCAATCTTCTAGTTTACAATGCTGGTCTCCGATTCTTGAAAGTTTTTCAATAAAGAGAGTTACAGTCTTTCGAAAAGCGAAGACCCCCATGTAAATTTCAAATTCCTCGACATTTCTTCGACGTCTTCACCATTCGAGGCAAGAAGTGCTTGAAAAGAAGCTCAGTACAATTTGGAAACTAGAAGTTATGTGCGGACAGAATCTGCCTTTCTTTTTTGAAATACTTCTGACTGCGGAAAGTTATAGCCCTTCAAAAAGAGGGTAGTTTGGCGATTTTCCCAGCTGACGCGCTCCAATCGAAAGGCGCGCGCGACGCTAGGGCGGACAGTTGTAGCGATATGATGGAGCGCGAGACTGCTCAACCGCCATTCTAAAAAAACCAAAACTGCAAAGAAAACCTTGTAAAATACCTATTCGAATCTTAACTGCTTGGAGTTTATCAAAATTAATTTATCCGGAAGGATCTGGCAACGCTCCTAGAAACTATAATGAGATCCCCAAAATGAGCAGATTCAACTCGCCAAACTTCAGAAAAAGGGATAAAAACCAAAAATGATATGAAAACAAAGAGAAAACCTAAATTCTATCGCCTGACCGTTAGGGAAGCTCCTAGAGGTTAGGTTATAGGATACGAGAAAAGAATTTTTATATTCGATGATTTAGGAGGTTCCTAGGGCATCTTGCTCATTTCCTTTCGGCAATAATGACCTCAGGGAAGCTGCATTGAAAAATGGTACATTTCCTTTCGTTCGGACAGAGGAAATGACCGCCTACTGCATGACATCTATCGCAGTCCCTGTAGTCAAGTAACAACTGACGTGATACCCGGGGCTTGTCCGTAGTGACTCTATGTACAGTCTTGAGAAGAAAACTTTTCCTCAACAGAACTTCTGTCCCAGAATCTAGCACTAAAAGAAGCTGGAGTCGGCTAGCAGCTGTGTATGGAATACCAAAGCAAGTGTGACGAGTACTATAACAGCTAGTACATATAAAAGTTAGTATAAGAGTATTATGCTATAACAGCTTGTAACAAATCTAGAAGGATGATGCTATTCGGACCTGAACCGTTTGAATGCCTTGTAAGGAAAGCAAGTCAGCTTCGTAGATTTTTCTTTACATATACAGGTGAATCGCGCCTTTTGTGGGCCTTCGGCAAAGAAATAAACAATCACTCAAACAGAAACAGCTTTCTGCATATAAACAGATCAAGTGCTCTTAGAGGAGGACTCGAATGAAGGTTGATGAAGTTGAAAATTGCATAGTTAGGAGACAGGCGTACCTCCTGAGAGCAGGGTCAACCCTATGTTGCTACAAGTGCAACGGGGGGGGTCGTATTTTGGTGAGTTTGTAGAGGGGGGTCGTACTTGCTTCGGATGTAAGTAGTGGCATGTGATGCCCCCCCCCCCCCAGAAAATGGAGTAGCTGAAATAGGGTGGAAAACATGGTAATTGGTAGAGGAAAATTGTAGGGATTTTTGCGGTTTTATGGTGTAAGTATATACCCCCTCCCCGCTCGACGGTAATTTTTTGGGGTAAAAATTGTTTTGAAACAGGGGGTCGTACGAAACATTTCATGAGGGAGGGGGGTCGTAAAAACTTTTTGAAAAGTTTCAACGATAGGACTCACCCTGCCTGAAAGTGCTGACCGACCCACAATTGCCAGCGAATATTTGAACTCGGCGATCTATTTTAGCATGGCTTACTCTTGGTGCAGTTGCAGCGGTACGCCCACTAAGTATCTAATCATTCGCCGAAGGTCTATACGCAGCGAATGATTAGATAGCAGAGCGCTCGCGTTGAAGAGGGCACAAAGATGAGAGTCGCATCAACGAGGAAATCAAGGGGCAAGGAAGGGTCCCCATTTCTAGGGTTCTGGGCCGTTTGCCATGGTTTTCCTTTTTTCTTGTACCACCCACCATCCTTAAACTAATGTGAATGGGTTGCCTTTTCATCGTAAGTTCTGCGTCTAACCCGACCTTGACGACAGCGCAGGTATACGTTTTGCAGGCCACAACGACATCGCGGGCCGTATGTGTTCTGCACCCACTACATTCATTTTTTCTGCGCAAGCGCAATCCAATTTTGAGTTTCCAGAAATAGGAGTAACCTAGCATTGCTAAAACATAGTGGCCCAGAGAATGGTCACAAATGCACCAATTGGAATATTTCTTAACCCTACAAAATCTTTAGTTTAGTTGATTCTTCATTCCATTTTTCTTTTCATGAGTGTGAAGAATTAACGAGTAGTAGAATTAAATAAAGAATCCAAGGGATGAAAGATATGGTTTTTGGCTGGAGCAATCGGGCTAAATTGCATTTGGCTTGGATTGCAGCCAGGTTCGACAAATTCTGCTTTACACTGTTGTTTCACGTCTTTCATCGGATTTCCACTACTGCACCCCTGGGTAGCATCTACGCCCTGAAAATTGTTGATCTAATTTTGTATCAATCAAGCTCCATTGATTGTATGACTCTGCTTGTATGACTTTATGCAGTCGCGATTGCAAAATCGCACCGGTCTCACACGGCCAAGAAAGCCAAAACGCGCGTTGTCGTCAACATTGTGAGGACGAAAGCATCAACTGGGTGCCGCATATCACACTCGTGTGGGGAGATCAAGTCCCAACTTGCACATCGGCCGGACCCGAAAGTCCTTGTTAGGCCAAATTGCACTCAAGATGCCATTACGCTGGGCTTGGGGACTTGCCTGGATCTATTATTATTTCATTATTCGAGTTCTTCGCTCAAAAAGGTCAGTAAATGGACGCACCTTGCTTCGCCGAAACGGATTTTAATAAGATAGTGAAGACGGCCGTGTTTTTGAATACGTCGACATAAAGGGTAATAACCAAAGATAGATACAAAGATTGTCTTCTACAGAATTGATCGGATTGAAGCAACTAAATATCTCGAAAGGTCTTTGATACGCATGTTATTAGCCGCCTATTAGCGCAGTTGAGTACTAAGGGAAAAGTTGGAAGCCGGATTTGTCAGTATTGTGAGAGATTGTGTACAAATGAGCTTCCACCATAAGCAATTGAATGATTGGAATATGGGGCAATAATAAGATTTAATTACGCGCAAACAACCATAATTGCAAAGCTGAGGAAA